TAGTTCTGTAGATGAGGAAGGAAATCCATACACTAGCGCACTGAACAAGCATGTTTATATAATCAACGGGGCAGGGGTGGCACACGGCTTTAATCCCAGCACTCGGGAGGCAGAGGCAGGTGGCTCTCTGTGAGTTCGAGGCCAGCCTGGTCTGCAGAGCGAGTTCCAGGTTGGCAAGTATTGTGAGCTTTTAAATTGTCACACAACAAAGAAAACAGTAGTGAGGTGAAGTGGAAAGGGCGACTTCTTCCTGGTACACAAGGCGACTGGTTCCTGCCTGGCACTGCAAGGCAGTCGTAAACCGATAGAGTTATCTGAAGGCCATCAAGCAGGGAGACTTTGGTCCACACAGTCCTGCAAACAGAGAGCTTTGACCCTCAGAGTGTCTGCAGCTAGACTGCCAGGGTCTTGCTGGGAGTGGCCCCAAAGTTCCCCTGTCCCCTGCCTTAAAGTAAGATGTAAGGAAAGGGTTACGGCAGCCGGAGAAATGGCTTAGTCGGCAAAAGCACTTGCTGTTCTTGTAGAGGATCCTAGTTCAGTTCCTAGCACCCACGTGGAGCAGCTCATAGCTGCCTGTGACTGCAGCTCCCGAGGATCCGATGTCCCCTGCTGGTATCTGTGGGAACCTGCATGTATGTGGCATTGGCACACGCATAAATCAAAACCAAATACTTACTTACTTTGTAAAGATTTTTGTAAAAAGTGTGTGTGTTATGAGTTATGTGTGGGGCTGGAGAGATGGCTCAGAGATTAAGAGCTCTAGATGCTCTTCCGGAGGTCTTGAGTTCAATTCCCAGAAACCACAAGCTGGCTCACAGCCATCTATAATGAGATCTGGTGTCCTCTTCTGGCCTGCAGGCATTCATGCAGATAGAGCACTGTATACATAATAAATAAATACATCTTTTAAAAAATAGAGTTGTGTATGAATGAATGTTGTTACCCACAGTCCAGAGATGGTAGGTTTCCCTGCAGCTGGAGTTACAGGCAGTTGTAAGATGCCTGATATATGAGTACTGGGAACTGAATTTGGGTTCAGCCCAAGAGCAGTATGAACCTGTAACCAGGAGCTATCATCTCTCTAGCTCCAAAAGAAAAACAACAAAAGGAATTGCCTTAATTCACAAGTGCATCCAGACAGTAGGAATTTCCCCCTATCGCCACCATGGTAACCTATCACGGCCTTCCTTCCTTCTTTTTTTTTTTCCCCAAGACAAGGTTTCTCTGTGTAGCCCATGCTGTCCTGAAACTTGCTCTGCAGACAGGCTAGATCTATCTGCCTCTGCCCAAATTATCATAGCCAAATTAACTGAAGCAAGCAATTGATTAAAGCATTTTAATTTGTGTTCAGGGATTGCCTCCCCTCCAAGTGGGGTTCAAGAAGAGAAGTCAGTGTAGGATGTGAGGAAGACAAGGCTTTTCTAGCTCAGGGGTAGGGGTTTCCAAATGGGGGACTTCTCAGGCAAAATAGGCAGGGTTATAGGAGCAGGACAAACAAGTTAGTCCTAAAGACCTTTTGAGACAAAGACATGGTCGCAAGGTAGTCATAGTCATGACATGGTAGTCGTAGGTGGTCATATAACTGTTGCAGAGTATTCCTGTACACTGTGTGAGTGGTTTAATAAGGAGCTGAGTGGCCAATAGCTAAGCAGAAAGAAGTCAGGCGGGACTTCTGGGGGCAGAGAGCGAACTTTGGGAAGAAGTGGCTGGATCGGCAGCCAGATGCAGAGGAAGCAGCATGAACAGTAAGGAGATGAGGTTAGGAGCCACGCCACAGAACACAGATTAAAATAAATGTGTTAGTTTAAGCTATAAGAGCTAGTAGAACAAGCCTAAGCTAAGGCCAAGCTTTCCCAATTAGCAAGTCTCTGTGTCACTATTTGGGAGCTTGTTGTACAGAGAAAGATTGGTTACATATATATAACCTTTTGAAACAAAGGTAGGGTTGCAAGACAGTTATGAACAACTTTTTTGAAACAAAAACATGATTACCATCCTTGGGACAGGAAGTACAGAACCATTTGCAGTTAAGGTTACAGGTGGGGCCTAGCTCAATCCTGGAGAAACAGAGCCTAATAACACGAATGGACCTAGTTTGTCTATACTACAAGGTTGCTTCTAAACCTTGGAGGTAGGATGGTTCTTCGGGGGAAGTCTCAAGTCCCAAGTTGTTCATTGGACGAGGCTTTGCTCCCTAGGCCAAGGAGATGGAGCGTTTGAGATGTGGAAGTCCCAGCCTGTAGGAGAAGACGAATCTCTCCCCATCGGAGGACTTAAGACAGTGTCTTCTGTCAAATCACGACTCCAACCATTTTTGCCTTTTCTGTACACTGGCATCCCTTTCTGCAAAGCTGTTTCCAGGTGGGCATGGCACATACCTTTAATCGCAGCACTCCGGAGGGACAGTTGGGGCAGTTCTAGGACCAGACTGATTGCCGGTGAGTTCCAGGCCGGTTAGGGTTAGGGATTCATAGTGAGGGTCTATCTCAAAACAAAAGGAAATAAAAATCCACAGAAAATCAAGCAACAACAAACCTGCCTCATTGTTTCTAGCCTCTTGAACTTACTACCCTATTTTCAACATCACCAGGAAACTCACCAGCTGTACCACGAGTCTCCCAAATGCTGCCCTCATCTTGCCTGTAGGGCAGTTATGCCATCTCTGGTCCAGCTTGGAGTTTTCCCGTAGGCTGACGAGGCAGAGAGGTAGAGAGGAGGGTGGCCTCAATCAAGAGCTCCCAGCTCCACAGCTCCAAGGGGAACTTGAGGAGCTGGTGGGCAGCGGCCACATCCTGGTTACATACATGATGGTCAATTCCTACCCCTCGGCTGATCTTTTAGCCAGTGTGTGAGCATGTTCCTGCTGCACCCACAGTCCCTTGCTGAAGCGTGGGTTAGTTCTGCGTGAATTTGCAGTGAATCTGTGTTTTCCTCCAGAAGAACCAGCTAGCCCAGGCTCTGCCCAGGTAGTAGGGGAATTATCCCTGCTGGGAAAGGGCCATGAGCTGGCTGTGAGGTTTGGTCATAGAATCCAGTGCTGTTGTCACAGAATTTGTGCTGGGGTCCGGTCCCTTAGGAAAGGGAGAGAAAGACTGAGTAGGTAAGGCACACAGGGGAGCTGGCACCAGAAGTTAGCAGCCGAAGTCCATTCAGGGCTCGGGTGAGGCCAAGGTGTGGTCACTGGAGCTCGTGGAACACAACTAATTGGCTTTGACAGGTGTGGGCAATAATGGCCTGCTTAGCTTTGCCTTTTCCTGCTCTTGCCTCTCTAGTCAGGCCTGGAGTGGCCCCACCCACCCACCCAGTCTACCTAGCAGGGACCGCTGCAAAATGAATATGCGTTCTGTTTTGGGGAAGGAAAACATTTGGGAATACATGAGAGGTTGTAATTGCACAGCAAGAATGTACGGCATACCTCTGAATTGTTTACTTATTTTTCTTTTTCCCCAGACAGGGCTTCTCTGTGACTTTGGAACTCACTCTTGTAGACCAGGCTGGCCTCGAACTCACAGAGATCCACCTGCCTCTCCCTCCGGAGTGCTGGGATCAAAGGCGTGCGCCACCACCGCCTGAGAGCATGCTTTTTTGAAGCTCACACCACGGATGCGCTTGCAAATGCTGATGGTGTACTCCTGGTTACCACCTCGTTGATGGCGGGCCCTCCTTGCCAACCTTCTTTGTGGGAGCCATTCAGCCAGGCCCAAGTTGGAAAGGATGGACTTGAGAGAATGTGAATTGTTTACTTTAAAAATGGCTAATTTGGGGGCTTGGAGAGATGGCTCAGAGGTTAAGAGCACTGGCTGCTCTTCCAGATTTAAAACCCCAGCAACCACACGATGGCTCACAACCTTATAGAACGAGATCTGGCGCCCTCTTCTGGACCGTAAGCATACATGCAGACAGAACACTACATAACAAATAAATCTTTTTAAAAATTGGCTTATTTTTTTGTTCTGTGACTTTCATTGAAACCAAGTCAGGAGGTAAGAATGGAGATTGCCAAGGCTGCAGGAGTGTGCAGACTTGTCGTGTACCGGCCTGGGGCTCAGGGACACAATGACAAAAGGGCACAATAATACGCCCCGTCCCTCAGCCTCTGCACCCCCTTTGCTCTGACTTCACCCTCCCCAAACCCCTGTAATTCTTCACGTGGTTGGGTGTCCACTGGAGGCAGAGGAATCTGCTTGTCTCCATTTCTCCAGTGTTGGGATTTCAAGACTGGGCTTCTCTGTAGCTTTGGAGCTTGTCCTGAACTCATTCTGTAGATCAGTCAACCCACCAATCCTTTAAGGCATTAAAAAATAGCGTGTGCCCGGCAGTGGTGGTGCACACCTTTAATCCCAGCACTCTGGAGGTAGAGGAAGGCAGATCTCTGTGCATTCCAGGCCAGCCTGGTCTACAGAGCGAGTTCCAGGACAGGTTCCAAAGCTACAGAGAGAAACCCTGTCTCACAAAAACAAAACGTACGTGATGTGTCTGTGTACAGGGTGTGTGTACGGGGTGTGTGTACAGGGTGTGTGTACAGGGTGTGTGTACGGGGCGTGTACAGGGTGTGTATAGGGTGTGTGTACGGGGCGTGTACAGGGTGTGTACAGGGTGTGTGTATAGGGTGTGTACAGGGCGTGTACAGGGTGTGTGTATAGGGTGTGTACGGGGTGTGTGTATAGGGTGTGTACAGGAGTCTGTACAGCACAGCACAGATGTGCATGTGTAAGGCCAGCTTTGTCGGTTGGGTACCTACTTCCCCTGGATGTGTCTGGTAGAGACTGACCTCAGGCAGCCAGGCTGCAGAGCCTTCACCTGAGGAGCCGCCTCCCTGGCCTGATTCTTTATTCTTCACACACACACGTGGCATGCTTCCCCTTTCGATACAAAGAACATTGAAAAGAGCCTCTTTATGCACACGGTCTAGCACATTTCCCCAAATTTATTTGTTTTTGCTTACATCAAATACAAAAAAAAAAAATTCATAAAATAGAATGTTATACACTCACTAGGAATGTTGATAAAGATATTTATTTATTCATTCACTTGTAGTAAAACAGTATAATAGAAAATAAGTTAGAAAAGAATGTATATTTCAAAATACTGAAAGTGATCACTTAGGGGCAATATAAAAATACACAGAATACTGCAGTCAGTAAAGTTAACTATTGTGTGAGCCCCAGCTCACATTCTTACTCAGGGTTCCCCCAGCCCTCAGCCACACTCCCCTACCAATTCTGCCCCACTCCAGGCCAGGGGTCCAGAAGTGGCAGGCATTGCGGGCCCAGTGCCAGTGGAGGCGTGGTAGCCGGAGGCCGGCCTGAGAACCTTCCCGTGCTTGCGGAGCACTGTCCCCCACAGGTCAGCTGCCTGTGACCCCTCCCGCTCAGTAAGAGAGCAGCTACAGAGGCCCCCCTCCCTTCACTGCGAGGAGTAGGTTCGCAGCAGAGGGGTTAGGCCGCAGGAAATATACATTTCAGGACCCTAAGAACATTTTATTAACAATTAGCAAGGTTTCCTCTTTTTATGTGTCCCTAAACGCCACAGGCTAGAACAGTTCTATGTGACTTCCTTGGAAAACGCAAAACAAAAACAAAACAAAACAAACCCAGTCAAGACCAGCGAAGTCCAGTTTCTGCCACCAGGTGGCATCATAGAGCAGTTGGGAAGTACAGGGGTGGCTGGCATCCAGGTCTCCAGATAACTCGGGTGGCAGCCAATTTCCTCCCCCCTGCCTCCTCCCGGGCCCACAGCTCTCAACAGGTTGACCCAGAAAAGATGAGAGGGGGCAGGAGAGACTTTCCTCAGCCCTGGCAAGACAGAATGAAGACCCCAAATGCCTTTCTTCATGTCTTTTAATATCTAAGATATAGAGATGCCAGAACCAACCACAGTAACCACAGCTGCATGCTGGCAGGCCCCTTCCGGGGCTGTCCTGAGCATCTGCCACCTGCCCAGCTCACAGGCCCCATCCTGGGGGAGTTGGGGACGGCCCACAGCCTGTCAGAACTCTGTCAGGAATGAATGGTCCCAGTGGAAGAGGTTGTCCTTGAGCCGAGATGAGGGTTATTTTTTGTGGAGAAACTTCATTTTGTTGCCTAAAAATAAAAAGTGTGAACACCTTAGGGGGGGGAGAGGGAGGAAGGGAAGGGCACAAGTGTGCGGTCAACTCTCTCCTCAGGCTTGTGAGGTAAGGGTCTTTACCTGCTGAGCCATCTCCCCGGCTCCGTGACTGAATCCCTGATTTTCCTGCTCTTACCTCATGTGTGTGTGAGAGTGTGTGTGTGTGTGTGTGTGAGTGTGTGTGAGTGTGAGAGTGTGTGTGAGTGTCTGTGTATGTGTGTATGAGTGTGTGTCTGAGAGTGTGTGTCTGTGAGAGTGTGTGAGTGTAAGAGTGTGTGTGAGTGTCTGTGTGTGTATGTGTGTCTCTGTGTGAGTGTGTGTGTGTGTGTGAGTGTGAGTGTCTGTGTATGTGTGTATGAGTGTGTGTATGTGAGAGAGTGTGAGAGTGTGTGTGTGTGTGTTTGTCTGTGTGGGTGTGAGTGTGTGTCTGTGTATGTGTTGAGTGTGTGTCTGTGTGTGTGAGTGTGTGTCTGTGTGAGTGTGAGTGTATGTGAGTGTCTGTGTGTGTGTGTGAGTGTGAGTGTGTGTGAGTGTGTGTGAGTGTCTGTGTGTATGTGTGTGTGAGAGTGTGTGTCTCTGTGTGTGTGTGTCTCTGTGTGAGTGTGTGTCTGTGTGAGAGTGTGTGTGTGAGTGTGTGTGAGTGTGAGAGTGTGTATGAGTGTGTGTCTGTGTATGTGTGTGAGTGTGTGTCTGTCTGTGTGGGTGTGTGTGAGTGTGTGTGTGGGTGTGAGTGTGTGTGAGAGTGTGTGTGAGTGTCTGTGTATGAGTGTGTGTCTTTCTGTGTGTGTGTGGGTGGGTGTGAGTGTGTGTGAGTGTGTGTGTGTCTGTGTGTATGAGTGTGTGTCTCTGTGTGAGTGTGAGTCTGTGTGTGTGTGAGTGTGTGTGTGTGATGCACTACACTACTGTCAACCCCAGGCTCTCTCTTTCTTGCAGGGACTTTCTTGCTGACTGAACTGTAGTCCTGACGCGTTTCTTCTTACTTTCCTACTCCGGGGCACTGGGAGGCTGGGTGGAATCCGCCTCTCTCTCTCCTTGTCTGGCCCCAGGCCTGCATCCTCCATTGGGTTCCCGGGAGACTTAGCCGTGGAGGAGATTGTAGCATCGAGGCCACTGAGGACCCAGGGACAGATTAAGAGAGGCAGTCAGCTAGCGTCAGCCTCCTGCATCACTGAGGGCTCCTGCCTCTGGGCACAGGGGAGTCGGCCCACAGGTGAGGTGGGGACCGGGGCCCAGGCCTTACCCAGACCCTTGAGGAACTTGTTGACTCCACTGTGCTCTCCGCTGGGCAAGGTCTCCAGATATTCCTGGGCACGGACCTCAAACAGACCTGGGGACAAGAGACACGGGGCACGTCAGAGCCTTTGCACTTCTACAGAAACCACCTTCCTCTCTAGAACGGGAAAGGGAAGCCTTGCTTCTGAGGCAGCTGTTCAAGCCTGAGGCTTGTAAGGAGTTTTACTATCCCTACAACTGACCCACCTCGTGTAGTGGAAGCCCGCTCACACATGCGATCCCATTTCATTCCTGCTACCCTTCCCCCATCAGACAGGCTTTCTCTGTGAGTAGCCCTGGCTGTCCTGGTGCTCGAACTGTTGACCAGGCTGGCCTCGAACTCACAGAGATCCATCTGCCTCTGCCTCTCTCTCAAGTTCTGGAACTAAAGGCTTTTTTTTACCACCCTGGCTCCTGCTCTCTTTCTTACCAATTGCAACTTGTAAACCTGGTTAAAATGTCCCTGGCAGCTCTTCTGAGGGAAAGCCTGGAGCAGGCCTGTTCTTTCACACCCTGTAGTTAAATTTCTCTTGTCCTGTGGAAATCCTTGTCAGAGTGTGGCTGCCTATCTCTCCTGTGCAAGCGGCTGGGAGAGCACAGGGTTTTGAGCTAAGTTCACAGCACTGGGGACCAGGGGTGGGGCCAGCGGCCCTTCTGGAACCTTCTGGCCTCTGGGTAGCCATGCTGCAGAGGCCAGTGCCTTCCATTCCCAGGTTCAGCTCCCATCAAAGCCGCCTTTACCAACCAGCATTCCTAGATTTTAGGTTCCCAGAACGGCCAAGACAAAGGACAAAATGGTGCCTCCGTCATTTCATGCTCCTTGCTCCCTTTCTCCCTAGAAGCACGATGGAGCCTATGCGGACAGGGACAGGGAGAAGTCAGAGAGAATTCAGAGAGAGGGAGGGGCTGGGGCGGATGATGACCGGAGCAGGGCGCCCAGATTACGCAGTGCTAGCCCAAGGCAGCAGGAACCAGGCCGTGGTCTCCTGAATCTTCATCCCCTCCACAGTCCGGGGCAGGGCCAGGAAGAAGAGCAAATGGGAAGAGCAGGGGGGTGTGGGAGAGGGGAGAAGGAGCTGCAGAGCAGCAGAGGGGCAGAGGGACCCGGGAGGAGCAGGTAGGCATTCCCTGTTTGGGTGTGGCCTGATGGCGGCTCCCGTGGAGGCCAGAAGACTGTCCTTGCCTGAGACCCTCCTCCACCTTTCCCGCCACTTAGAGCCTAGGCGGCTGCACCCTCTGGCCGGCAAGGTTTGCCCGGCAAGGTTTGCGGCGTCCTGACCTTTGGCATCCTGCCGGCGCAGTTCCCGCTCCTGGATGAAACCACGGAAAGTCTGCGTCTCCATGAAGACTTCCAGGAAACATCGCAGGCTCTTAGAGGAGACGGCTTTCCTGAAGGCCTCTCGCTGCAGGCTCCTCTCCTCGCCCGAAGTCAGGAACAAGGAGTAGTGGCCCACAATCTCCACAAAGAATCGGACAAAGGCTTCCGACACCACCTCATTCAGGGGGCTGGACTCAGGGCCTGAGGGGGGCACAAGACCATAATAGTAAGGGTGGTTGACGGGCCAGAGCCCAGGGCAGTCAGTTACTGGTGGTCAGCAACAGCCGCCTCCCTCCACAGCCACCTGTGACCGTCCAAGGGAAAGGGGACTTGAAGTTCTCCCCCCCTTTTAGAGGTATTGTAGAACCTAAGTGGGGAGACCCTTACCGTTATGGTTGGACTGAAACCTCGGCGGTGAAGGGTCCAACCCCCCTTTTAACCCTCATGCCCGTACGTTCCCTCAGCCACCCAGCTGTTCCACAGTCCTGGCAGTTACCATGACCATAGCCCAGCGGGCCTCCATCCGGGTCACAGGCCAGGTCATTCCTCTGCTCCAGAATGTGTTCCAGGGCTACCTGAAGCTTCCGGGGCAGAATGGAATCCTCATCCTCCATCTGTAAGGCAGGAGACGTAGGTGGGCACAGCTACATCTGGCTAGCCATGTGCCAGCCACATCTCTGGGCAGGGCAGGCAGCTCGTAGTTTAAACGTGTGTGTGTGTGTGTGTGTGTGTATGTGTGTGTGTGTGTGTGTGCAGACTGGGTTAACCTCCGGCTTCTGCCTCCCCACCTGCTGAGGTTAAAGGTATGTGCTACCACCGCCCGGCTTCCTGTCAATATTTTAAAGATGTGCAGACATACAATTTTCTTTCTACTTATTTCTTTTGTCGCTGAAGCCTTTTGTGTCTGTGCAGGTGAAAACCGGTCTTTGTTGAGCCTTCCTCTTTCTGTCACCTCGTCCCTGGCTGGCCTTGGCCTGGGGTGGCCCCACTGTCCAGCTGAGCTGGTCAGTCCCGGCTTGCTAAAGAGCTCTTCTGGAGCTGGAGTCAGACCCCTGGACTTGAAGGCATAGCATAGGAGAAGCTGGCTGAGCTGGCGTTCCACTCACCTGTCTGAGGAACCGATCATTGATGAGATCGACTACAAGAACCTACAGGGCAGAGGAAAGGGGATGAGTATTGTGACCAGCGCTTCGGGGAGAAAGACGGGCGTGGAGCACTCTCGTGGAGCGCTCTCTCTCCCTCTCTCTCTGTGTGTGAGATTGCAATGAGAAATCCACCAAGCTGCACCTGTGGCACTGACCACACCCATTTGGGTGTGGCCACAGGTTGGTAGGTGAGCCTGTGTACCTCTGAGGTGCCTAAAAACTCAGTCACCAAGCTTGGCAATGAGCCACCTTGCCAGCCACACCCTGTGGTTGCTTTCCTAATGCCATGACTAAGTCCTCGCCTACTCGGTCATCAGTTCAAGCACATGGTCCAGATACTGCTTCCTCTGCTCAGTGTAGGGAGACAGGAGGATGGGGCAGGTGGCTATGCCCGACATCAGGACTTCTAAATGGCTGCTTTATACAGGCCATTTCCTTTAGAGGGACAGCGGTCACCAGGGGCTTGACGGACGGGAGACCCTGGGAAGGACCTGTCCCAGAGCAGACCCTGGCCACCACCCTCCTCTTCGAGTGCCCCGGGGAAGGAGGGTGCAGGGATGGGGGCTCACCTCTTCCAGTGGCAGCTCCCTGAGCAGTGGCAGGGAGCTGGAGAGCAGCCCGATGAGGAACGGAGTGGGTGAGCACACTATGTCAATCATGGAGGGCGGTAACACCGGGATGTAGGTGTGCTGCCAGCTGAAGGGGTATATCAGTGCCACCATGGCGTGGCAGCACTTGGACAGTGTGCTGCGGAAGGGACAGAGAGAGGAGAGGAAAGGCCAGGTCAGCGTGGGCGAGGGCGGGGCTTCCACAGCAGGGGCTGGGACTGGTCCTTCTCTCCAGCCTTCAAAGCGTAGTAGGATAGACAGCGCTCACACAGACACAGCCAACACATCTACAAAGAAGCCTTCAGGGAAATGTAAACCAAAACCACACCGAGATTCCAATGGCAAAAGCATTTGCCCACCTGAGCTGGGAGGCGGTGGCCCACGCCTTTAATCCCAGCGCTTGGGAGGCAGAGGCAGGCGGACCTTCGTGATCTATAACCACGACCCTGAACTACCACCGTCTGAGAGCTGGGATTATAGTGTGTGTGTACACCCCACAACCCACCGATGAGGTGCAGGGCCTTGTGAATCCTAGGCAAGCACTCTAGCGACCAAACACATCCACAGCCCATGCATGTCAAGACGGTTTCCAGGTGACGGTTTCCTTCATTAACCCACCAGTACAAAGGCTTGAACCTGGGGCTGGACTGGCGGAGGGTTGGGACTGGAGGCACTTACTCCCATCCAGCCTGCCAAACACTCTGACCGCAGGGAAGTTTTAGAAGCGATCCCAGACAGCACTCACAAGCATTTTTAGGAACCGGGCCCTGCTGTGCAGTTTAGGCTGGCCATAAACCGGAGATCCCCGGTATCACCTTCCAGAGTTCTAGGGTGACACACCTGGCTTGGGGTCTCCCTGCTTTGCAATCTTGTAGCTACAGGCACTGAGTCCTAAGAAGTTTAATGTAAATTCCAGGGCAGTTGGGGGTTATGAGCCCCAGAAGCCGGGGAGGGAGGGAGGAGGAGACTGGGAGAGGCAGGCACAGGGGAGGGCGGGTGGCCTGTGAGCTTCCCGTCATTGCCACAGAAAAAGAAAGCTACGTGTCCTTTTCCTCAAATCAGAAAAAGACCAACGGTCCTTTTTGTTTGTTTGTTTGGAGAGTTTCTCTGAGTAGCTTTGTAGACCAGGCTGGCCTCGTTCTTTGAACTCACAGAGATCCTCCTGCCTGTGACTCCTGAGTGCTGGGATTAATGCCGCCACCACCGCCTGGCCTATCATCCCATGCTATACCCCAACCCTGTATCAGTTCTGATGAGGATCCAGCTGGGTAGCCTGCTGGCCGCGTAGGCAAGGACAGCCACTCGCAACCATCCCTTGAAGGAGTGTTCAGGGTGCTCTCTGCTAACGTCGAGCTGGTGACGTTGCCCACTGGAGTCGCATGCTCGGGCAGGCCTTGCCCTTCTCCCCCAGCCCCTCTGCCTTGCTGAAGACTGCTAGATGACACTCCTGAAGCTAGCCCTCACGGTCTAGTACCTTATTTGGGCCCTTCCTCTCCCTGACACTGACTACCAAGGTCCAGCTATCAAAGTACTGAAATCCAGCAATCACAAGCCCTGGTAGCTCACCTAATTAAAATCCCAATTAAAGTTAAACACCCCATCCTAACGGGTTTCCCCTCGTAACTTTGTAAACTGCCATTTTCCTGGGTGCTGCACCTGTCCCCTCTCTATCCAGAGGCCGTCCTCTGTCCTACTTGGGACAAAGCCCCAGCTACCTTTCCTGTTTCCTTCCCCTTCTCCCTTGTCCTCTATCTCCTGCCTTTGTCCCTTATCCTTGCCCTGCCCTTCTGGGGCAAACATTCCCGCACCTGGTTATCAACAGCTGGTTAGGAGGACGGGAGGGAGGGGCTCTCAGGCGGCAGGGCGGGCCGGCAGCTGTGGGGACCTCAGCCCTCCTGCTCCAGCCCAGTCCACTACCTTAAAATCATTCCGCCCTGGGCCGTGTGGAAAGGAGAGGGTGGGTTCTGTAAAAGCCGCGGTGGGTGGTGACCGCCCTTTCTCTGACACGAAGGACTCCTGAAGCACAGCTTGTGTGCTCAGGAAATGCTGCTGGAATTTCATGAGCAGGGGTGGGGCAGGGGGTGAGGGCTGAAAGGAAAAAGAGAAACAGAGGCGAAGGGGAGGAAGCCCGGGGCAGAGGCTGAGCGACTCATGAGCTGTTGCAGGAGGCCAAGGGGAAGCCTTGCACAGCTGGCTCCCATTAGTGTGTGTGTGTGAGTGTGCGCGCGTGTGAGTGTGCGAGTGTGTGGTGTGTGTGAGTGTGTGAGTGTTCGCACGTGTTTGCGCATGAGTGTGTGAGTGCACGCGTGTAAGTGAGTGAGTGTGTGTGAGTGTGTTCACACGTGTTTGCTCGTGTGTTCGCACATGTGCGCACGTGTGAGTGAGTGTGAGTGTATGAGTGAGTGTGTGAGGTGTGTGTGAGTGTGTGGTGTGTGTGAGTGTGTGTGACCTCCAAGCTCCTACAGCTGGGACCAATTGTGCAGTGTCAGGAAGGGAAGAGAATGTCCCAGTGGAAAGGTGGCTGGGCCAGAGGGCTCAGTGATGGACGCAGGTGAGAGGGGCCAGGGCTCAGGACGCTTAGCACTGGGAGGTGCTTCCTATGGGTTGAAGCATTGTTCTGGAAAATCAGGATGTGTCTGTTGAGTGTTAACATCTGGAGAAGGTGTTTCAGGTCTGGGTGCTTGGGTCCCTGAATTAGACACCCAGGGACTGGTCAGATGGTGATTCAGTGAGTACCCCCAGGCCTCCAGAACAATGCGTCTGTCCAGCTACACAGCACTTCCGAGGATAGGAGCCAAAGGCAAATCTCAGGTTGTCCTGCTCATGACACGCTCCCAGGGAGCGTGTATCGCCTGCCAAGCAGGACTGCCAAGTTTCCCTGCCTGCACATATCACTGAATTTAGAAGGCACACAGGCTGGCAAGCTCTGTTTTTTGGGTGACTCCAGCACGAGCCCTTCACTACTCCAGGCAGCACACTCATCCCCCATGAAAGACGTGAGCTAGCCTACAAGAGCCCTGATGTCCCCTTCCAGCTTTAGCATCCACAAAAAACAGATCTGTACGAGATGGCACACGCAGGGGCTAGAAACGGGAACTTTCTCCTGAGGCCACAAGCTAAGTCACAGCAAGGCTTGTTAGCATGCCTGGATCCAGGAATGATGTGCTCTGAGGAACTGAGATGACTCTGGTATCTGGAGGGTCTGATCTACTTAAGGAAGTCCTGAAGGGGAGGCCAGACAGAGGAAGCGTGAGCCGGGTGGACACTGACTCCAAGGAAAGAGCTGGAATGTGTCCCAGCCAAGGGCATTTAGTGATGGGTTAGAGGACAACAGCATTTATGTATGGCTTTCGTAACCTCTACCTTTTGCTCCAAAGGCTGTCTTCTTCCTGTTGTTCATATTACAAACCAAGGGGATTTGTGTTAGTCAGAGTGTACCCTAGCCCTGTCTCACACATCCCAGGGTGGCCTCGAACTATGCACCGAGAATGATTTTGAATTTCACAGCCTCCTGCTCCCTAGTATTGGGATTATAGGTGTGGACCACCATGCTTGGTTTTATTAGATGCTAGGGATTGGAACCTAGGGTTCAGCGCATGCTAGGCCAGCCAACCAAGGCTCATCTCCGGCTAATGACACTTAGTGACTGTTTTTCAGTGCTGGGGAGTGAACCAAACCTCACAGTTGTTAGGCACGCACTCCACCAGTGTGCTGTGTTCTCACCTGTGGCTTTGCAGTTGTGGTAGCGTGCTTTAAAATATTTTCTTTCCATAGAGCTTTGCTAAATCAGATGTATTTATTTTAGACTCTTGTCAACCAACCACCCTGAGCACCTACCGGATCCTCAAAGACCGGATCCTCAAAGTGTCATTTTTTTCCCCCTAAAGATTTATTTATTTATTATTTATGTATACATTGTTCTGCCTGCACGCCAGAAGAGGGCACCAGATCCCATTTAAATGGTTGTGAACCACAATGCAGGTGCTGGGAATTGAACTCAGGTCCTCGGGAGCAGCAGCCAGTGCTCTCAACTGCTGAGCCACCTCTCAAGTCTCCCCAAAGTGGAGTATTTTGGGTAGGACTGTTTGCAGACAGGCCCTGAGATGGCAAACAGTGTAGCTGGCTCTAGAAGACATACAAGGCCTCTCCGAAGCTTACGGAAACTCAGTAAAAAAACGACAAAGAATGAACATACACAGCTGAACAGGAACTTACTTGTGCAGTTACCCATGTGCGAAACCCAAGATTCAAAAACTACTGGTCATCTCATCCTCCTCAATATTGGGTGAACCCTCGGCTTATGACCCTTCTGTACTATAAAAAGACAGACTACTGAATATTAAACACTTTGCCATCTAAAATGTTTATATGAACTTGCTTATGTGCAACCCTGGCTACAGGCCACCCTGGTATATAGGTTTGGCTGAAGCTTTTTAGATCTGAAATTAGTAAATAAAAAACAAAATGTTTATCATAAAGGAAATGAAGACGTGTATGGGGAAATATTTATCTGGGTTGTTATGGCAACAGAACAAGCCATCATAACAGCATTCTTTGCTCTCCATCTCAAGCTTGAGCATGTCAGCCTTTAGAAACACTCAGCGTCTACCCTAAAGATGAAACAAAGCAAAACTGTTGTTTTAAATTTGATAGGTTTTTGGCTCAGCTTAAAACCCTTCTGTAACTCTTGAGTGTTTGCCACTGACTCCCATCGAGCTTCTCTCCAAGTGTGAAGTGTCCAGACTCCACAGCAAAGATAAGTAAATCACTGTGTTGGGGGAGAGCCCTGAGGGCAGCTAGGGCCTACCAGGGATGTCACGGGCCACTGCCTGGGTTTGCGACACATCCTGTTCCCATGCTCTGCTGTGGCCTCGCTGACCCTGGGCACAGAAGAGGCTCCCTTCCACCCTGAGTCCACCGGTGTTCAGTGTCTCAGGCGAAGTCAGCAGCTGGGATGCCAATGGTTTTCTTCTTGGAATCTCTCAGCTCAAAAAACTTGCAGCCAGCCTGTTCCCCGGCCCTTGTTTGTTAAGGTCTGGACAGAGAACCTTTAGTTCCCTATGGCTGCTATCCCACAAATCAAACAGAACGGAGTAGATCCTTCCACCAGGCCTATGAATCAGAGAGCCAGGAGGCTTGGAGGTTCTGGCCCACAGAGTCTGATCATTTCAGATCTGAGAGAGAGCTGGAGGACTCTCCCTTACACCTACCCCCTGGGGCTCTTGTTGGAAGGCCACCGAGAGAAGGAAGGAAGGTTCCAGAGAAAAACACTTAACGTCCCTAGCCACAAAGAAAGGAAAAAAAAAATCTTATAGGTCACTCGGGAGGCAGAGGCAGGTGGGTCTCTGTGAGTTCAAGGCCAGGCTGGTCTACAAGAGCTAGTTCTAGGACAGGCTCCAAAGCCACAGAGAAACCCTGTCTTGAGAAAAAAAAAAAAAAAAAAAGAACAAAACAAAAAAGAATCTTATACTTTTTCAAGACAGGCTGTCGCTCTGTGGACAAGACTAGCCTGAAACTTGAAACTACTCTCCCTCAGCCTCCTCAGACCAGGATTATAGGCAGCACGTGTGAGCATACTCTCAAACGGATCAGTGATCAGTGGCTCCTAGCTCCCCAGATGTTTGCTCCCTCCATAGGCAGCCTTCCTGCACCTGGCTTCCTTCAGCAAAGTGAGCCGGTTGGCTCCTTTCAGGGTCCCCCACCCAGAATCTGTGTGATAAGGCAGCGGACAGGTGAGTGAAGGCTGCACACTTAGTCCTCAGTCCCTAAGTTATCTTTATTTATTTAAAGACAGGGTTTCTCTGGATAGTCCTGGCCGTCGTGGAACTAGCTCTGTGGATCAGACGGGTCTCAGACTCAGAGATGCACCTGCCTCTGCCTCTGGAGTGCGGGATCAGAGGTGAGAGCCACCACACCTAGGTTCAACTAAAAATATTATGTGGCACTTTGCCTGCCTACATGTCTGTGCATCTTATGTGTGCCTAATGCCTGTGGAGGCCAGAAGAGGGCGCCACCTGCAGGGCTTCAAGCAGTCAGAAGCCCGGGTTCCCTGCAACTGGGGTGGCAGATGGTTGTGAGCCTCTAAGTGGGCGCTGGGAGTGGATCTCTGCAAGAGCAAGTGCTCTGAACCACTGAGCCATCTCTCCAGCCTGTGCCCATTACTCCTCCTTTCTCTGCTGCTTCTGAAACAGGCTCCTATGTAGCCCAGGTTAGCCTCAGATGCAGCTTCCGATTCTCGGGCCACACCTCCTCCCCGCAGTGACTACAGGGGCGTGTCGCCACCGCAGCCAGCCGCTGCAGCAGCCACAGGGCTGGGGACTGAAACCAGGGCTTTGAGCATGCTAGGCAAACTCTCTGGCAGCTGAGCTACACCCCCATCCCTGTGATCATCACTCCAGTTAGGTTTTCTTCTCTTCCTATCACAGAGTTCTGTAAGCCACTATTTATATCACCCACTTAAATCTGCATGGGATTAGTATAATATGGACAATTAATTTATTGGGAGGGGGGAGGCAGAGAGAGAGAGAGAGAGAGAGAGAGAGAGAGAGAGAGAGAGCCATGTTTAACAGAAAAAGTGTCTGCCTACAAGGAAAACAAGACACTGACTGAAAGTCAGATTCTCCAGGGCTCAGTCAACCCCAATGCCCTGCAAGCGTGGAGACCCAGGGTTAAGGGCTGAGTGCTCAGGGTCCCTTCCCCAGGTGATTTGAGGGGGCTGCACATGTGTGGAAGCTGTACAGAGACTAAAATGAACTTAAGATGGGACGTAGCTGAGTTGATAGTTAACTTGCTTGTTAGCCTTGGAGAAGCCCTGGTCTCCATTCCACATGAACTGGGTTTGGCGGTGTAAGCTAGTAATTCCAGCAGCTGCGAGGTAGAGGCTGAAGGATCACAAGTTCAAGGTCACCCTCAGCTATATAGAGTATCTGAGGCCAGCCTAGGATACACGAGACAGTGACTTGACTCAAAAATAAATAACCAATAAGAGTGCAATTAAGACAGTTTTTGCCCTCAGGCATATATGCATACTAATTACTATAAAGCCAGCTTCGGGCCCCAAAGAGGGCATAAAAATTAGCCATATTCCTGCTGCCTTCTCCTGTACAAGAATCGCCCTTTGTGGCAGCCAACAGAAGCCACCAGGGACTATTTAAGTGGCCCTTCCCTGCCATATGCTGACCACGGTTATTGTATCTCCAAGAGCAGGGCTGGCAGACTCCGTGGAAGGTGAGGTGAGGGGAAAAACTTCAAAGGCCCTCCTGGGGAACTAGCTGAGGTCCCAGAGCACAGCCCACTCAGGAGCAAGGGGATCTGTCTGTTCAAGGGGGCTGGCTGGTGTCCAAACTGCCCACTCAGAAGGCCGTCTAAGGATAGGCAGGGGCGCTGAACTCTTTTCTAGACACTGACTGTTTCCCCGGGTTTTCTAACACGAGGAGCCCATGCTGCTGTTCCTACCTTATTCTTTTTCACTGTACCAACCCGAAAATACATACTTGGCTGGCCTGCTCAGCTCCACCAACTCACGATCTTGGGCATTTTCTCCATCTTAGTCTCCCTTGGTCCAACATCTTCATCCCGCAAGTTGGTCCCCTAGAGTCTGTGTCCCCCAACTCCATTCCTGGAGGGTGCCGGGTTAATTTAGCTGGTCTCCACTTCTTGCCAAGACCTTTCTGAAATTCATCTTTTTCTCCCCTTCCCCAAATCCAAGCCTTGAGAGTCTAAGGGAATGGGAGGTGTTAGGGAGCTGGGAGCAGGGAACCTCCCAGAACACGGAGACCGTTCCCATAGAGCCCGGTCAGTAAAGGGTTATTACTCATCCCCCAACACTGAGAACTCTCTGTTTGAGTTCCCCAGGGCCCAGGAGCCTGGAGAGCGGCCCAGCTCCCAGCACCAGCTGCAGGCTGAAGACAGCCCAGCTTCCTGAGCTGACAGAAGCCACAGGGAACACAATAATGGCGACATTTAAAAGTGAATAGAGAGCTCAGACGTGAGACAGGGGCCCGTCGGGGAGTAGCCAAATGGCAGCTGTCCAAAGAGCATCCTCATAGGGGTGACCAGATGGCTAGGGGAGGGCAGGGAGGGTGCTGCGCTCGCTCGGCCCCCAATGGGTCCCACGTTTCATTGTTCAGCCCCCTTTCTCCTTTCCCGTTTCTGCTCTCCACAGCTCAGGGTCGCATTTCCTCTGCAGACCACAGGCGTGCTGCTTGTCAGTTTCAGGCATGTCTTCCTCCCAAATGAGCCCTCCCAGGTGGCCCCCACTATTTCAGACAGTTGGTGACCCCAACCTTGGCCCACATATGTTCCCATTCTCTCAGTTTGAAGAAAGCCAATGTTTTGGCAAAAAAAAAAAAAATTGTTCTTACATATATTTATTGTGTGTGCGAGCATGTACACACGCATTCACAGAAGTCAGAGAACAGCTTGCAAACGTGGATTCTCTCCTACCACTATGTGGGTTCTGGGGGTTGACCTCAGGTTGGCTAGCTTGGAGGCAGGCTCCTTTATCTGCTGAGCCCAAGTCAGTGATTTTATTTGCTTTGCTTTTTTAAATAAGGTCCTACTATGTGGTCCGTGCCGCCCGGAATTCGCAGAGAGCTACCTGCCTCTGCACCAGAGTGCTGGGATAAAGGCCTCAAATGATGAAAACGCAAGGAATTTCCCCTTTGCTGGAAGTTCAGGCTCAATCCGAACGCTTATTTCCTTCTGGATCTGCTGCGACTTATGACGTGGCCTTTTTGATTCACAGACATCCTGTGGGGCACGGGTGTATGTGCGCATGCGTGGTTTGTATGGTTTAGCTTAACAGCAAACAGGGAAGGGTGCCCTGGTTGAGTCTGCGCGACTAGTCTCGTGGTCTCTCCCTGAGCTGTCCCTTGTCCTCTCTGCCTACTCATCCAACCTTTCCTCCACTCCAGTCAGTGAGCAGCCTCACCGCTCTTGAAGACATGTCCAGCCTCTCCTGATTGCTCGCTTTCGTACAGACAGCTCTTCTGCCTGCAACATGCTCTTGGTCTTATTAGCACTAAGTCGGAATCTGTCCCACCCTTTGCTACGTGAACTCAACTCACTGCTTCTAACAAGCTCCTCCCCAGGCTCCTCCCCCACAAGGTCTTCCCCACAGGCTCCTCCCCAGGCTCCTCCCCCACACGGTCCTCCCCACAGGCTCCTCCCCACACGGTCCTCCACACACGCTCCTCTGTAGATGGCTCACTTCCTGGTCCCCCACTGAACGAGAACTCTGGAGGGCAGGACCGCGTAGCTTTCACCTGGCTTTCCATCACATGCAAGAGTGCCGAGCTCAGTGTGCTACACGGGAAGCAGGCCAAATACCAGACAGGCATACATGCCATGCAGCGCCACCCCTTTTATACCGGGGCTGTGCCTCACAGGCCCGCAGGAACCCCATCTCTACACCACCGAGGGTGTAAGACTGAGCATCATTTACACGCACTAGCAGACGACGTAGCAGAGGTTGGTACCTGAGTTTGTCTGCAATGAAGATGACCCTCCTTTCCAGAAGCAGGGAGGCAAAAACACTGACCAAGTGTCGGACGCTGAGGGAGGAGAACAGAGACTCAAAATCCACGTGCTCTAGCCGGGAGTCCAGTGGGCGACACAGCTCAATCACCTGCCAGGGAATGGTAGCGGCTATGAAGGTGGACTTACACAGCAGGCCTCCCTGTGGCCCTCGGCCTTATAAGGAGGTTCCTCCTGGAAGAGCATGCCAGGATGTGCCTGGAATCGTTTATGTTGAAAACTGACCCAGCCTCAAAGTTCTGGGGGAAAGAAACCCTGTCTTCTGAAGGCCTGTCACTGCTGGAAGAAAATCCCAGGCCTATGCATGTAGCCCAGGTCGGCTTCAAACTTTCTACGTAGCTTAGGCCGGTCCTGAACTACTTATTTATTTATTGTGCATGTATGTATGTATAAAAGTGTCTGTGTGAGATGAGTGTGCATGAGCTCAGGTGCACACGGGCCAAGGCACATACATGTGTGGAGACCAGAGGACGATTTTTCAGGAGTCAGTTCTCTTTTCCCAGTCGGTTCCCGAGATCAAACTCAAGTCACTGGCTTGAGGAGCTAGTGCTTAAAAGAAAAAAAATGCGTCTTATGTGCATGGGCATTTTTGTCTGCATATATGTGCACTATACACGCAGTGCAGAACCCACAGAGGCCATCAGATCCTCTGGAGCTGGAGTTACACACAGATGGCTATCAGTTACCATCTGGGTGCCGGGAATCGAACCCGGGTCCTCTGGAAGAGCTACCAGCGCTCTTAACCACTGAGCCATCTCTCCAACCCCAGGGCTCTGAACTCTTGACCCTCTTGCCTCCACCTTGCAGAGGTGGAATTACAGGTGTGCATCACTGTGCCTAGCCCATGCCAATCACTTCTGTGTGTGTTCCTAGTTTTAAGCCTGCTGCGTTTTTCGTCTTACTCGAATGTGAACAGAGAAGGCTGATCACTGACTATGGACTTGGAAAAGAAGCCACTGACACACCGTGCATGTCTCCAGGAAAACCGTATGCTGTACGGCATGGCTCTTGTGGGTAGCTCCCTGGAACCATGCCTGGGCTGGATAGACTGAGGAGTGATCAAGGAAACCGCTGGGCTGGATGCCCTGCTGGAAGACATGGCCTCTCCAGCCACAGGGACTTGGCTGGCTGGACCACCTGTTGTGACAGAAGAGTCAGGTCTGACAGCTTACCTCCGTCCCCGAGCCTGGCAGGAAGTTCTTGACAGCGATGGTTTTGCCCAGGGCTGGGAAAGGGGCTTCCATGACACTCCTCATCAGGGGCTGCACCAGAGCGGGAGAGAGACCTCTTCTTTTTTCCACCTCGTCCAAGATCTGTGAGAGTCAGAAAAGCAGCTCAGCCGCTCTGAAGTCAGGGGGCCAAGGTGTGCTCAGTCCTGCCACCACAGGCCTGCCACAGAGACTCCAGCTCATGAGGTGCCATTTGCTCCTGAGTCTATCCAATACCGGACCCAATTCTTTCTCTCCTCTGTGTCCCTTTGTCGTGTGACTTTGTAGTCCATACTACTTATTAATAGGGGACCCATGGTTTCTTCTTTCTCTTTGGCACGTGACTTACTGGGCTACTCCAAGCACATTTTCTATCCCTGGCCTTGGGATCAGGCAAGGGCTGACTGAAACTGTAAACGAGACACCCTCAATGAAATGTTTTCCTTTGTAAGAGTTGCCGTGGTCATGGTGGCTCTTCACAGCAAGAGAAACCCTAACGAAGACAGCCTCTGTCTCTCCTTCAGGACAGTTCTTAAAATCCTCTTTCTTGACAGGGTTTCTCTTGCTATCGTCCTGGATGACCTTGAACTAGCAATCCTCCTGCCTCAGCATCTCCAGAGCTGGGATTATAGGAGTGGGCCACCATGGCCACACCCTTATCTCTCGAACTAATGATGAGAGAGACTGATGAGGAGTGGGGGAGGGCAAAGAAACGACAGGCAAAGTAACAAGACGGAGAGCAGCAGCAGCAGCAGAGGCAGCGCTGTCCCCCCCCCCCCCCACTTCTCTCTGGGCACGTTCTCACCTTGGAAAAGAGGCTGAAGCATCCCAGGCGGCTCACAATGCAATAAACTTCAGGAAGCCGCTTCCCTTTGCCTCCAGGCTTTTGGGGAGGGAAACATAAGGACATCATGAGTGTCACCATCAGGGAGAGAGAACGCAGTGTCCTGGAGCTGTCATGTGAGGCGGGTACTCACCGTCACCCGGCTTTACTTCAGAAGTCTGTCAGAATCCTCCGTACAGCTTTGCTTTAAAAACCTGTTCATTTGTGTGGGCGTGGGAGCCACGGCGTACTTGTGAGAGTCAGGGGCCACCTACAGCTCAGCTCCCTTTTCTAAGATCCAGTCACACCCTGCAGCTGGAGTTATGGATGGCTGTGAGCCAAATCCAGGTTCTTCGCAAAAGCAACACGTGCTGTAAGGCCCCGAGCCAGCTCTGCAGGCCCAGTTTAAGAACTTTTTTGTTTTTAAATGTATATTCGAGTGTTGCCTGTAGCAGATGCCAGTTCTGCTGCAACCAGAGTGATAGACAGTTGTGAGCTGTGGTGTGGGTGCTGGGAATTGAACCCAGGTCCTTTGGAAGGGTGGCCAGGGTGCTTAACCACTGAGCCATCTCTCCAGCCCTGAACCTTCTCTTGTTAGCACCTATTCTGAATGTCCTCACTCAGCCATCAGAGTCTGTTTAGCAATGTTTCATTACAAAGGAAAATTGGCTTAAGGAGAGAAAGGTCTTTAATTTGGTGGGGGAAAAAATGAAAGAGGCATTTCCTTCCCTTCCTCCCTCTCTTCCTCTCTTCGTTTCTTCGTTCTTGGTTTTTCGAGACAGGGTTTCTCTGTGTAACAACAGCTCTGGCTGTCCTGGAACTAACTCACTCTGTTTGAGTTTCAGGCTAGCCTTGAACTCATAGAAATCTTCCTGCCTCTGCCTCCCAAATGGTAAGATCAAAGGTGAGCCAGGCATTGGTGGCGCACGCCTTTAGTCCCAGCGCTCGGGAGGCAGAGGCAGGAGGATCTCTGTGAGCTTGAGGCCAGCCTGGTCTACAGAGTGAGTTCCAGGCAGGCCAGGTTCCAAAACAATACAGAGAAACCCTGCCTCAAAAACAAAACAACAACAACAAAAAAAAAAAACAAAAAACAAAACAACAACAACAAAAAGATCAAAGGTGTACGCCACCAAGCAGAGAATGAAGCATTTTCTTACTGATGGAAACAGAGGCATCACCTCTACCTGCTAAGAAAACTTAGTGAGTCTTCAACCCCCCCAGCCGCGCGCACACACCACCTGCACCTGCTCCTCCAGCAGGGTAGGCGAGACCTGAGTCTCAAGCCCTAGGAAGCTCTGGCTGGGAGAAAGGCAGAGAGTACTGACCAGCAGTCTTCGGCAGTATCCGAACCGTCTGCTCCCGTCTTCTCCAGTTAAGACAAAGGAGAACGTTTCACTGTGGTTGTGAAAACACAAACAAGTTACAAAGCGGGGAAGTGGCCGTAGGCGTGGGGAGGCAAGGGGCTGTTCCAAGTGGGTGGTGAGGGTGTGGCTCAGGAGGGGACACGACTGGCCATGGCGTGGCTCTCTAACAGAAATGCTCTTACACAGATGCTTTGAGGCAACTGCAGGCCAACTTCACGAGACACAGCAACCCTCACACACTCAGCATGTATGAGCCTACTGAGCTGAGCCAAATGCCGACAGCTAACACCATGCATGCGCTAAAGCGGAAGTGTGAACAGACCCCAATAGGAGTGGCAGCTACCCAGGCCACTGGGGTGCTTCCCGAGCCCGTGTGGGCAATGGGCGGTGGGCCGGTTCCCTAATTTTTCCCAGATTAGGATTATACTCGGGAGGCTTCTGAAACACACGGGCCTCTAGACTGTGTGGAGGCTTCATAAATGCCCACTTGGAAGGTGTCCCTTGTCTCAGGGAAACGTTAAAAATACACGGGAAAACTAGGCTGGTGCCCCTCAGGGTAGCTTAACTCCCAAATTGCGGGCTCTGCCATCTACGACCTCCTCACCTCCCGATCCAACTCTCTGAGTTTGGGTGTGGGGAGAGGGGCGTCGAGAGCTCCTACCTGGTGAACTCCTGGACGGGAGCCCAGTCCTTGGCATCAGGGAAGCAGAACTGAGGGATAGCCTTCAGTTGGTCCTCAGCCTCTCTCATGAACTTGAAGGACTTTTCCAGCTGCAAAGAAAGATGGGGAGGGCTTACAGACTAAGCCCCAATAAGGGGGAGGGAGGTAAAGTTCCCCTTGTCCCTTCTCTGGCCATGACTACCGGCTCAGCAGCTTCCCGGGGAAGGGTTTGGAGCTCGTCTGTGGGCTGTTTCCCCCAAGACAATGCAACTGCAGTCTGAGAGGGCAGTCAGCAAGCACCTTCAGAGAGACATTAATACTCTGGGATACAGCACTCAGGTCAGTAAGGAAGAGTCTCCATGGCAGCCCCTGCCAAAGGGGCTCATGGAAATGGGGGGCAGCGCTGCACGCCAGCTCTTCTGACCTCCAAGGGTGCTAATTCTCATAGCGACTACAGATAGCGCGGCCACATTATACAGGGAAACCAACTAGCTCCTGGGGTCACTGGATGTGGAACTGGAAGGGACTGGACACAAGGAGGCTCGCCCTCTCATTTCAGACAGTAGGAAGCATGCCCTGTGGCAGTAAGGGATTGGTCCTGCTCACACAGTGAGTTTAGAAGTTGGTCTCTCTGTCTCCAGTGATCAGGATAGGACTCAGGAAGTACAGACGGGCAGGAAGAGGATGAATTAAACTCTGATTTAGAGATTATATTTAGCGTCACAAAGACTGGGTGTGGTCGTGCATACACAGAATGTCAGCCGCTTTGCTACATAGCGAGTTCAAGGCTGACCTGGCTCTGTGAGACTCTATGTCAAAATAAACTGAAACAAAATTTAATGAGTTTGCTCATTTTATAGATTTTTTTTGTGTTCTATTTGTTTGTTTGTTTGTTTGTTTATTGAGACAAGGTTTTCTCTGTGTAGCTTTGGAGCCTGTCCTGAAACTAGCGCTGTAGACCAAGCTGGACTTGAACTCACAGAGATCCGCCTGCTTCTGCCTCCCGAGTGTTGGGACTGAAGGCATACAACACCGACACCCGGCTTGTTTTTATTCTTATTATTTATTATTATTATGTATTATGTGTGTGAACCTGGGTGAGTTTATGTGTGCTATGCTTGTAAAGGTGCCCTGGGAGGCCAGAGCGCACTGGCTGGGAGCCACCTGATGTGGGTGGCAAGGACTGAATGAAGGTCCTCTAGAAGAGCAGCAAGTGCTTTTAACCATTCAGATCCTTGGTTTTTTTTTTTTTGTTTTGTTTTTGTTTTTGTTTTGTTTTTTAAGTTTTTTTTCTTGTTTTACTTTTTTGAGACAGGGTCTATGTAGTTCAAGCTGGCTTCAGGTTTGCAAAGATTCTCCTGCCTCAGTCATAAGTGCTAGAATTACAGGTGTGAGCAACACTAATAATGGGATATTATTAGTGTGAAATGTGGTCTGCCAACCTTGAATACAGTAATCATTGGAATGTGAGATTAAACCTATTATTTAGGGCTGGAGAGATGGCTCAGAGGTTAAGAACACTAGCTGCTCTTCCAGAGGTCCTGAGTTCAATTCCCAGCAACCATATGGTGGCTCACAACCATATGTAATGAGATCTGGAGCCTTCTTCTGGGGGATACATGCAGACAGAACACTGTATACATAATAAATAAATAAATAAATCTTAAAAAACAAAACAAAAAACAAACAACAAAACCCCATTATTTAAAAGCTTATAAAAAGCCTGGGCACAGTGGTATATGCCTTTAATCCCAGCACTGGACAGGCAGAGGCAGGAGGATTTCTGTGACTTTGAGGCCAGCCTGGTCTACACAGTGAGTTCCAGATCAGCCAGGACAAAATGGGGAGTCCCTGTTTCAAAACGTGTGTTCATGCAAGCACACATTCAGAAAACAAAACAAAATTATCAAAAATCTAAATAAATAAGGCCAAGTTGTGGCTATATATAAAACCCTATCTCAGAACAAAAGAAGGTCCAGAATGAACAAAATAAAACCAATATACATAAGAAATGTCAGTGGCAATATACATTTCCACCAGAGGGATCACATAAGCAGAGAAGGATTCCCCGCATACTGGGGCATCAGAGAACTTCATAAAAGATACTTCAGAATTTGTATTAAATCTGTTTTAAGATAACATGCTTACAAGGCTGTGCATGGGCCACGACACAAATCCATCACAACGGCTGTAGTACAGAGACACAGGGAAATCCAGTATGAGTAAAGACTGGAGGGCCAAAACAACGGCATGCTAGCTGCGGAGATCATGGGTGGCTTTGCTTTGTTTAGATCTTTCTGAGTTAGCTCCATTTTCTATGGTGACTTCTAACTCTCTCCTAGGAAAAGGCATCTGAGCCCAAAGGCCCCCTGGTTGGAGATGGCAAGCAGCATTCATCACTTCTGATGACTTCATGATTTAACACCTTTGTTCCCGGAACGCCACTTAAGTGTTACAGTGTGCACACCCATGTGCCAGGCACTGAGGGCAGCGAGGAATGACAAGACAGCCAGTCCTTCAGGCCTTGGTGCCTACTGGGCCCTCGACCAGGAAAGACCCCCAAATCCAGACATCCAGACCCCATGCAGTGGGGGTTTTCAAGAGAGTGTCTCTTTCTTACCGGCATGGCAATCGAAGGCGGAGGAGGAGGTGCCTGGGGGGGGGGGGAGCGTGTGTGCCTGTGTTAGCACCGGGCCACTGTGTTAGCCCACTATGGTTAAAGAAGGCTGGCTGGGAAAGGACACAGGCAGACAGGCCTTGGAAGGGTCCTGCACGGGGTGGTTGCCACAGGAGCCCAGCATGAGTCAAGATGAGCCCCCCTTTTTCTGGGACCCTGGTGTGTATGGCTGTCAGAGCCTACTTCCTGACAGCCTTTGTGCATGTAAAAACTCGTTTAGCACACTCCTGGTATGCCTTCCTAAAGGACAGGAAACCCATTCTATTTATCTTATAATCACTTGGGGCCAAGCAGAAATAACTTGAATGACTGAATGTAAATTCTGTTTGGACTGAATTCGAATACAGTAGACTATTTAGTACATATTTCAAAGCCTAAGAGTAACTTCAGTGTCACCGGCCACGCCACAGCAGGCTTTATTAACAGCCCTTTATTTTAGGTCCCTTGTGTATAGTGTTCTGCCTGCATGTACTCCTGCAGGCCAGCAGAGGGCTCCAGATCTCATTATGGATGGTTGTGAGCCTGCCATGTGGTTGCTGGGAATTGAATTCAGGGCCTTTGGAAGAGCAGCCAGTGTTTTTAACTGCCACAGCATCTCTCTAGTCTCTGAAAGGGTTTTTGTTGTTGTTGTTTTGAGATAGGGTATCCTGTGTCCCAGGCCTGACTTGAACTCACTGTGTGCCCTTGAAGATGACCTTGAACTTCTGACCCTTTTTCTCTACCTCTCAAGTGCTGAGATCACAGGTGTGCACTAACCCTGTAATGCACGTGGGATCAGGGACCAAACTCAGGGCTCCATGCGAGTCTAGAGCTCTACCGGCTAAGCTATGTCCACAGCCCTGGAAGAAGTTTGTTTTTTCCTTTTTGTTTTGCTTTAAGACAGGGTCTCACTACGTAGACCAGATTGGCCTCCAACACACAGATCCACCTGCCTCTGTGTCTACCTCTCGAGTGCTCGAGTGCTGGGCTTAAAGACTATGCCACCATACCTTCGAGTATTTTTGCCTTTTTTTTTTTTTTTTTAATTTCCCAATGTGGCAGATACTCCTTAGGGCTCACTTAGAAGGTTCTAGACCAAAGTCTTTCCCAGACTGTCTCACCTCCCTGAATCCAAGCTGATAGCCAGGATGTGCTGGTCCCCAGGCAACCCGTGGGGACCAGTCCCCCCCTACCTTCAGAGGAAACTGCTGGGTGAGTTCTGGCACATAGGCAGCCCCTGCCTGCTTCTTGTGCAGAGACACGACCACAAAGTACTCGAAGAGCTGCCTCTCCTGGTACTCAATGAGGTCCCGGTCAAGCGATGAGTACCGAGGGGCCTGCTTGAGGCGAGACTTCACATTGACCAGGCGCCGGCTGTGAGCTGTGGGGGAAGAAGCCACAGGCCTGACATGACTCATTTGCCAACGTGGGGCTGCTCGGTGCTCGCACATTATGTAATTCCTAGCGTGGTCCCCGGAGTCTTTCCACGTCTAGAAAACTAGTAGGAAACCCTTTCTTTGGGCCTCTCACCAAACTCAAGGAAGGGGCATGTGTCACTCGCAGGGCTCAGGACCGGCTGGGGCTTCGCCATTAAGCCTCAAGTCGGAAGCTCCACAAGGCTTCCCCTCCATCTGTCTTCAGGGTGGGGACTTGCACATTTCCCCTCACGCACTTCCATCGTCTTTCGGTTTGTGCGATGTGACAAAATCCAGACCACGGAGCTTTGTAAACACCCCATGTGACATGCTGGCAGAAACCTGGCTACCTCAAGAACTCACTCCCACTTCTGGCCCAGCCACTTCTCTGCAGCGGGAGTGGACTTGTTTACTCTGGGGGTGGTCCAGGTCGTAAGAGGGTGTCAGCGGTAATTTAGGTGGGGGACGCTAAGAGGACCAGTCACCTGGATCAGAACCCAGGGCTGCCCTCTCTGTTGGCCAGCGGGGTCTGAGAGGTCTCAGAAAACTCACTAAGGCTTGGACCTGGACCACTGGATAGATCTCCAGGGACCAATTGTTTCACTTATTTCATCTGGCAATCGAGGAGCCGGAGGCTCGGAGATCTTAAGGCGATCACTCGAAACTCACAGCCATTCTCAAGTGTGGCGCCTGGCATCCTCAGAGGCGCGCGAACAAGCCGCCACACTACTGTCCATCCCCAGCTGGCCCACCCCTGCTCACACTTTAGGCCCTGTGGCCCTCCCAGACGTGCATGCCTTGCCAAGCAAGCCTGAGCAGGGCAAAGTCCGTCCCTCCACAGCAGGGAGGCGCCAGGGCTATGGCTTCCCCCTGGACCCTTCTCTCCTCACCTTTCAGCTTCTCCTCAGTATCACTGTCCGACTCGCTGTTCTCGTCTGTCACTGGGGCAAAAGAACAAGGAAGGGAGAGGCAGATGTGAGCTCCAATGCGGGCAATCAGACCCGAAATTTCCAGGCCAGAGGGGGTGTTTTGTTAACTGTGTAAATATGCCGGTCAAATTCTGCTCCTCTCCATGTGTCAGCAAGCCACTTTGACTCTGGGTAAGGATTCCTCTATCGGATCACACCAGAAGAGCCAGGAAGGCTGCTGCCAGAGCCAGCTGCGTGCAGCCCTCAGCTGACTTGGCTGATGGAAGTGGCAAGTCGGAGGGAGGAAGCTGGAGCTTGTGCCACCGCCCCAGAGCGAGGGCACACAAGAAGCAGCCACTTGCTTCCTCCTCCGAGAACCAAGAAACAGAAGACGAGACGTGCCCTGGGGGAAGGGTGATGCCTTCAGAGTGTCGTGGGGCACAGAGGTACCGACCTTTTCCTGAGTTGCTCTCTGTGGACTGGGAGAGCCTCTTCATCCGCTTCTTTCCTCTGCGGGCCTCATAAATGGCATTGATCCTCAACACCAGCTGCCAGACAGCAGAAAAGACAGCGTTAGCTCCCTCCCTGCTGCCCAGGCTGGCCCGTCTCTCCTAGCCTGACAAAGTCCAGGGAAACGGGCAGGGGACACACTTCCCGCTGCTGCATCGCCTGTCCTCTGACCACACAGAAGGAGGCCGTCCTCACGGCTGGCTGGCCCCAGGAGCAGCTAGGGTCTAAAGAGTCCTGCACCCGGCTGAGACACTTGGGAGGCTCGGGGACAATTTCCTGGCTCTCAGTGTCATTCAGCTCTCACTCCAGTGCTGTGGCTTAGGAGAGAGCTGTTTACTCGCAAAACAAATCAAGAGAAGGAAAAGACAGAAGACATAATTCCCAGGCAGGGCCACGTTGCTGGGAACCATCCGAAGGGTGTCTGAACGGCCCCCAGCTGGTGGGAATAGCGCGGACGGACTATGCAGAGGGGGCTTGGTAATGGAGCCTCATGGTCCCCTGAGTGCTCTGGGATGGGCCACGTCGCAGGGCTTACGACCACCCAACCCACATGACTTCTCTGAGCAACCTAGCAAGACCCTGTCTCAAGAAGAGTTGGGGATCTATCTCAGTGGTGGAGTGCTTTCCTGGCCGATGTGAAACTCGTGCCCAGCCTCTCTCTCTCACACACACACACTCTCTCTCTCTCATACACGCACACACAGGCAGGAAAAGACTGGAATCAAAGGTTAGTTAAGGAGGCAGGGAGAGGAATAACTAAGGGGAGGACACAGGACTGCAATAATAACAGATGATGGACCCACATGTCCTAGTCTACTGGCTTCACTGTGGCCGTTGTCCCACGGTGACACAGGAAGCAGAGGACTTCATACTATCCTCAGCGTCCTCTACAGAGAAGTTCCCAGACCTCAAACCCTGAAGTATGTTTTACCCTGGGGATCTTTCTCTTCTTCCTGCCATTCTGTAGGTCTCCAAGGTTAAAGAAAGTGTCATCCGGGCTGCTGGGTGTAGAAGGAGGGCTGGCCCTCACTGGGGACCCAGTTCCATCTCGACTCAGCTTCCTAGTGTCCAGCAGTTTGAAGTTTCTTCTCTCTGAATTTTGCCGGAAAAACGCGGACTTGGGCAAGGATTGCTGTGTGAGAAAGGAGAGAGGGCGTAAGCCCAAATAACAGCATAAAGGTGGGAGAGCTCAGTGCGGAGACAGACAGGGAAGCGGGAAGCGAGCAGGCTGGGAGACAGGGAAGCGAGCAGGCTGGGAGACAGGGAGCCTGGCAGGCTGGGCTGGGAGACAGGGAGCCTGGCAGGCTGGGCTGGGCTCCCAGGGTACCTGGGGTTTGCTACATTAACTATGCTGTGCTACCATCCAGTTGTGGGAAATTTATGTGACAGAGGATGTAAATCTAATCCAATGTCTCTCACACAGGTAGGAAGCCACCTGCCTCCACCGGGCTTTACAGATGAGGCTGGATGGTAAAAGACACACGTCCTTGTAAATTACAGGACTAAACTGGCCGCGACCCTGGGGGGCTGGCTTTCCAAGCGCCTGCTCTACAGAAGGTTTCATCCCTCTGCGCATCAGTATCTTTTTTTATTTGTAGTATTGGCATTTGAGTCTAGGGCCTTCCACAGACAGGCTAGAGTCCTAATCCAGGATTTCATTTCTAAACAAGCCTCTTCCAAATCATAAGGTGAATAGAGAACTTACTTAAAAGTTTACCAGTCTGCAGGGGATGTAGCTTAGAGCACTTGCCCAGCAATGCAAGATGCCAAGTTTGATCTCCAGTACCCCCCAGAATAAAAATTATGAGGTGATAAAGACAAACCGTAACAAACCGGCAACGCGCGCGCCCTCTGACCCTGCGTCCAGCCTGGGCATTCCCCTCGCTGAGACACACATGCTTGGCTAACATTATATTGTACATGGAAAGTCACACTCTGCAGTGAATGCCATATATTGTGACGTGGCATATAATCGCAGAACACTGCAAGTAAGTTATGAAGTGCCCAGACAGTGGAGTAGCGTGTGCAGCTGTAGGGACAGAAGTTAGTGCGCTGGTAGAATGGTTCTTTCGGGTACATGTTGTTATTATTATTTTTTTTAATTTATTTATTTTTGACGGCAAGCACGGCTCTGGCAGGCCCTGCCCTTCACCCCCACTCCCTCCGCCTTGCTATAAGGACTGTTAGATGACATCCCTAAAGCTAGCCATCAAGGACTATTCCTTTATTTGAACACTTCCTCCCCCTGAGGCTGACTACCACGGTCCAGCCATCAAAGTATATTGAAGTCCAGCAATCCAAACCCCCTTCGGGTCACCTAATTAACATGCCCAGCTAGGATTAAACACCCCCTCCTAACATGGGCTCCCCCTGTACCTTTATAAACTGCCATTTGCCTATGCGCCACATCTGTCTCCTATCCAGAGGACGTCCGTCCTCTGTCCCACTCAGGGACGAATACCCCTTCCCCTCCTCCCTGGCCCTCCATCTCATCTTTTCCCCTTATCCCTGCCCTCTGTGGCAAATAAATCTCCTTTGTGCTGAGAACCTGGCCTTGGGGTTCTGAGCCGATACCGACCCTTTCCATTTTTATGAGTATATGTTTGTGCAAGAAGCCAGAAGAGGGTGTAGGGTCCCTTGGAGCCGGTGTTACGGACAGCTGTGAGCTGCCATGTGGGTGCGGGAATTGAACCCAGGTCCTCTGAAAGAGCAGCCAGTGCTGGTATCTGCTGAGCTATCTTCCTCTCTCTCATATTTCAACTTTTAACAATTATTTATTTATTGTAAATGCACGTCACTTAAGAATGCGGAGGCCAGAGGCCAGTTTTTCAGTACTCAGCTCCCTCCTTGTTTCTGAGGCTGGGCCTCTCTTGTATTGTATATGCGGAATTCCTGATGACTCGCTGCCTCTCATCTAGCCACAACAGGGCTGGGACACAGATGCTCACCGCCATATCTGGCATTTTGGAATCACCTACTTATTTACTCTCACGTGTGCGAGCGCATGATGTGTACGCAGACGTGTGTGCTGTTGCACACATGAAAACATCAGTTCCTTCCCTCCAAGCTCTACAGCTTTTCCTGGGGTCTGAGGACCCAACTCAGCTTGACAGGTTTGTGCAGCAAGTGTTTGGACTCACTGAGCTATCCTGCTGGCCCATGCATGAAAAGCAAGTCATAGGGGCTGGAGGTAAGAGCATTGGCTGCTCTTCCAGAGGTCCTGAGTTCAGTTCCCAGCACCCACATGGTGGCTCACAACCATCTGTAATGCGATCTTCTGCCCTCTGCTGGTGTGCAGACATACATGCAGGCAGAACACCGTATACATAGTACATAAATTAAAAAAAAAAGGTGAGGCATGGCATGTTGACAGAACCATTAACCACTCATATCAGCTTTCTTTAAGTGTGCTTTGCCCAGCAGCTCGTCTGCATTCACCCCTTGATCTTAGGGAATATGATGCTTGCACAACTGATGGGAGGTGAGGTGGCTCAGCAGGTGGCAGACACTCACTGACAAGTCTGAGGACCTGAGTCATGGTAGAAGAAGAGAATCAACTCATGCAGGCTGTTCTGACTTCCACAGGCTACTGGGAGAAATGGTGTGTGTGTGTGCGTGCGTGCGTGTGTGTGCATGTGTGTGTGTGTGCATGTGTGTGTGTGTGTGTGCATGTGTGTGTGTCTTCGTTAGATGTTTAATAAATAGTATTCTATTTTCGTCTGGATTTCCTTGGTTTGTTTTTGAGCATAGCTTATTCATTAATCCATCAGTAATTCATTTCACAGTATGCTAATCTAAATTGTTTCCCTCCAAGCTCACTTATCCCTATTCCATTTAATGAATGAGCCTTTCTTTCTCAGTCAATTTACAAAGCTACATCTATCATATCTTAAACACTCACAGAGTAGGCCTAGTTTGTCCCACTGAATTTCCCAGTTGCCCTTAGTTCCAACTAGGATGTATTTACAATTTCAGAGCCTTTTCTTTTTCAAAATTCCCAGGAACAGAGAGGTTCCTATCTGCCCTGAGGTCGGTTATCCCTTTCATCACAATTCTACGAGGAACAAGGAGTTGCTCAGCACGGGAAGCTTCCCACAGTGCACAGCTAACAGGCGGAGAACAGTGTAGGTACCTTTATCGCCTTGGCACAGAAACAGGCTTCTTAGCCTAATTCCACCTGCAGCGAAGTCCAAGGAAACTGCCCCAATGCTCTCGGCACGGATCTACATAATGGGTGGCAACCAGCAGGCATCTGTTTTCATTCAAGACTTACACCGGGCCATTGTTTGCTTACATCTGAGAAGGGAAGTAACCAAAGTAGGGTACTCAAGTCTAGATAGCACCCCAAGGAACCTGGCAGGAGCTGCGTGCAGGCTGCATCCGGGAGAGGGCAGCTGGCTGTGTCCTCCAGCACCCACATACCTAACAGTCCAGGGAGCTTCAGGGAGGAGCGGGCTTTGACAAGAGGGAAGCCAGTAGACATGGGGGGCGAGCCTCTCAAGCGTTCGGCGCAGTCTGAGGCTCGGTAGGAAGAAGCAAACTCCTGACCAGGCACCTTTACCCAGGCACCTTCTCCCAAGGCTACTGGGAGAAATGGTACCACAGTAAAGATGTCTGTTGGCTGGGGCTCTGAAAGCAAGGGTCTCAGGCTTAGTGGTGTTTATCTTCTAAGGCAGATGGTCAGTACAGCAGTCTAAGAGCAGTGAAGCTCTCAGACGCAGCTTCGCAACCATGTACTAAGGACTGGGCAGGGCCATACAGCTTTGTCCATAAAAATCTCATACAACTTCATTCATAAAGACCAGCAACTGGCGGTAGGCTGCCAAACCCTAACTGCAGCAGGAAAGGGAAGCCTCTGTCAGGCCTTAAAGGCGGTATTGTTTTTAGGCTCTTGTCTAGCAGATTCTTCTGTTGACGGTAGCGCCTCACAGTGCCACGACGCCTTCCAGAAGCTGTGTCAGCACAGCAGAGCCTCTACTCCCAGGGGCGCTGGAGTCACTGGGCACTGAGGGAAACCTGTAGCGGCTGAGAAGTAGACAAGGGCGATCTTGGTCCGAAGTCTCACCGGTTGTTGCAGGAGGCTCTGATGGGTCCTGGTGTGTGACATCTTGATGGGAAGGAGGTGGCAGGAAGCCCCGAGATAACATGGCCTGAAGCCAAAATCATTAGCCCCCTTGGGTGAAAAGGACCGCCCCCGATTAGCACAGCCTCCTCTGACACAAACAGTCCTTGACGGTTGTAGTAGCACACATCTGTATGATCCCAGCATTCAGGAAGCCAGTGCAGGAGAATTACAGTTTGAGGCCCGCCAGGGCTACAGAGTGAGACCTCTCATCTCAAACGTCAGAGGCTGGGAGATGGCCCTGTGGGTAAAATGCTTGCTGTGCAGGGGTGAGGACTGGAGTTCGGATCCCAGCACTCACACAAACAGGCGGCAGAGCTCCAGACTCAGGGAGACTCTCACTCACTAACTAAGGTGGAGAAGTCACCCGCACCCACAGCCGGTCTTAGACCTTTCCGTGCACATGTGCAGTGCTCATATGTAGTACACCCATGCACAATTGATCTTGAGTTGCTGCCATACTCCTCATGCAGTAGTAGGTATGGTTATAACACACACACACACACACACACACACACACACACACACACACACACACACACACAATCACTTTGGGTTCACAGACCACAGCATCTGTTCCAGCTGCCCATCTGTTCTTTTCAAAGGAGACTTTGTCCAACTGCCCTCCCTTTCCACTGGGACCAGACAGGAGTTAATTAGATGAACATCCCAAAGATGGCGTGGAGCTTTCTGAGGCTAGCGGGGGAATTCGACACAGAGGGGCTGCCTCAGCTACTTCTGATTCCGCAGATGCGGCCCAGATGCGGCAAGATGCTCAGTGAATAGCTGATGAGCTAACCGGAGGAGGTGGCGGTCGGTCTGCAGCTGTCCCTCAGAGCAGGGGCACAGGCCAGACACCCAGATGTGAGAGAACAGTTCGGAACATAAGACACAGAGCCCCAGTTAAGCTGCATGAGCCCCAACAGCCTGTAATGTCAGGGGCACTGGCCAGTGCACGGTGCCCTCCAGGACAACCACACACAGACAAAAATCTCGACCGGCATCACTACCACCCTGGTTTGGCTGCGGCGGCGCGGCACAGGCTCCGGGTCTGCCCAGCTTAGCAGGGGACATGTCCGGCTACTCAGCCTTCATTTTCTGGTACAAGGGAGGAGCTGGTTGCTCAGAGCACAGCTGTCCAGGGCAGATGCTTTCCACTGTTTCTAAGACTGTGACTCCCTGCATGAAGTGGAGAGCCAGGTAGACTCCTTCTTTTTTATGTATGTGCCTGGGGGGTTCACACGCACATGTGTTCAGACATGTGCGTGCAGGCCAGAGGCCAACTTCTGGTGCTGTTCCTTAGACATCCTCTTTTCCTTCTTCCCTCCTTCCTTCTTGAGACAGGGTTTTTCACTGGCCTAGAACTCTCTAGATCAGGCGGCTTCTCCACGGCTGGGATTATAAACACATCCCTCTACTCCCTGCTTTTGTACACGGGTCCCAGGGGTTGAACTCAGTCCTCTTTCTTGCATGACAAACATTTTATAGACTGAGCTTCCCCTCCCCCCTGTGTACCTCTCTTTTTGAGACACAGGGTCCCACATATTCTAGAACAGCCTCCAACTCATCATATAGGTGAAGATGACCTTGAACCTCTGGTCTTCTTGCCTCAGCCTCCCAAATGCTGGGGTTACACGTGTGAGCCTAGTTTCTTCTCCAGTAATGGGGACTGAACCAGGGCCTTGTGTGCATTCCGCCACTGATATGTGTCCCTAGCCGTTATTTTGTTTTTCTAAGACAGTCTACTCACTCTAGGGAAGGGAGCGTCTAAATGCTGGACACATCCATATTCCAACGAGAACGCAAAACACGCGTCCAAGGCAAGTAGAAACCGCTAACTATTGGCTGTCGTGCGTTCCTCATGACAACAGGCTCCTCCACGTGAAAGATAGTTCAGGCAGATACTGAGACAGCTCACCTGGGCCTACAAGCCACACCCTTAACAACAGGCTATGTCCCCGATCCTTCTAGATCTGTGGCTGGCAGTGTGTCCTGTCTGATTTCAGGCGTAGAAAGCATGCCCTGTGAAGACCTACCCCACCTTCCAGCAAATGCTGACCCTGCCAGGAGGACTACAGGAAGACAGCTGCGTTTCTCTGTTGGAAACAAAGCCTGACGATGGAATTTGAGTGGCATCTGCAGTTCAAATTTGGTCTTCCTTTAGACCCCCTGAAGGGTTGCAAAGGATCTGCGAAGGGGATTAAATCTTGGAGTCCAGAATCTCTGAGAACTCAGATACTGAAATATCACCACTGAGGTATCCGCTTATTCATTTTTCGCTCCCTCACAGAAATATTCTGTACACGCACAAACAAATATTAAGTTAAGAAACAGTCACAGGGCCTGGAGAGAGCGCTCAGTGATTAGGAGCTATCACAGGGTATGTGGGTTCAGTTCTCAGCACCCACACGGAGGCTCACAACCACCCATCACTCCAGTTCCAGGGATCTGATGGCCTCTTGTGGCCGCCAAGGGCTCTTTTGTTTTTTAAAGAAGGGTCTCATTGTAGCTCTGGATGCCTGGAATTTACTACGTAGATCAGGCTGTCCTCAAATTTACAAAGGTTCACCTGCCTCCTGAGGGCTGGAAATAAAAGTATGAACCTGATACCACCACATCTAGCAAATAAAGAAACCTTTAAAAAAGCGTACACAGATGGTATTACCCTATATAAACACTCTGCCTTTTTGTCTTACATCTCATCAGGATGCCATTATTTACCTGTTTGTTTGTTTATGGTTGCCATTTCTTAGTCAGACTACTCTGGCACTTACTATGTCAGTCAGGCTGAACTTTGAACAGCAATCCTCCTGCCTCTGGCCCCCAGGTGTTGGGACTGCAGGTGTGGTCCACTACACCTGGCTCTGGACAGTTTGAAGGCATTGCTCTTTAGTGACCAGCTTAGGAGAGGGTCCCGAGCTAGAGACCCAAAGGTACTGTAGGGAGCTCTGCGGAGAGGGCTGGTTGCAGGAGACCAGTCAGGCTGCTGAGCAAGAGAGAGGGATGCGCGGGAGGGCGGGGGGGGGGGGGAGCTCCAAAGTGCCCCAGGTACCTTGGTGGAAGTGTCCGGGATGGGAGAGGTGGGCGGTCCAGGGAAAGTCAAGACACATTTCTTGCCTAGGCAGCGGCTGTGTAACTCAATGTCCTCATAAGGATTTTCCTTCATAGGTGGATCTGTGATCAATGGCAAAACAGGAATGTTAGCACTTTGGGTTTTCTTCTTCTTCTCTCTCTTTAAAAAAGCCATTTTATGTGAATGGTGTTTTGCCTCCACATTTTATCCATGCCTGGCATGAGAAGGCCAGAAGAGGGTGTCAAGTAGGAGCTACACATGGTTGTGAGCCTCCGCGTGGGAGCTGGGAACTGAGCCAGGGTCCTTGGCAACAGCAGCCAGTGCTCTTTGTCGTCTAGCCCTGACCTTTTTCTTATGGGAACGCTAGGGCCACCACCTTGGCCTCCTGCATGTGAGTGTTTGTTGGATGTGTGTCGTTCAACTGGCCACCCCTTCCTCATGGCAGCAGACCCTGCCTTTTCACTAGGTGGTAACTCCTCAGAGCTGCTCAAACAAACTCCCTTCCCAGATTCAGGGCTTGCTGCTCTGGGGCGCCTGAGCCCTGCCTCAGAGGTGAGTGCAGGAGAGCGGACAGCCCGGGCCTAAGGCAACCACTGGATGTCACTTCTGGCTCTGAAAATGAAAAATGGGACATAAGCAGGATTTTTGCTGGGACTTGCGGGTCCCAGGCTCTGGTTCTACAAGGAAAGCCACAGGTCCCAGGGAGCTGGAGGCAGCCGGCAGGGGTCAGCGGGAAACCCTTGCCGAGAACAAAGACACCTGGGAGAAGAAAGGAGAAGTCAGCTGTGGGGTTAGAGTCCCCAAAGCACCGGTTATCTCCTTACAAGGGCGGGAGCCCAGCCTGGCTCTGTGGCTCTCAGAGCTCTAACTGGGGCTTCCTCCTTTCAGGACCATTTCTGTCTGCCCCTCACGTGGGCTCCTCACGCTCACCAGCTCCTTTTCTGTCTTTTAAGGTTACCCTGACCTTTTTCATTCATGATCCTAAGTTTATGTGTTTACAACAGTTGAAGTGTGATGAGTGAATTTAGCATGTCACAGTTTTATACCGCCTGTGTGAGACTTTACATACTGTACACGCTATTCCCGAAATGCAAAAGCAGTTGTCAGTGCTTTTCAGCTGAGAGGACACCTGTTCGGCACACTTCTCCTGAGGCGGCCCATACCAAGCAAGTTTTGCTTTCGTGTTTTTGTGGTATTTCCCTCTACAACCGCCTGGTATTTCTCTTTCATTCCCGCCAGTTCTGGGCAAAGCAGCTCTAGCTCTGGGTTTTCTAGGTAAAGCAGCTCCTAAGTGGCCCTTAAAGATCCAGGGTACATGTGTATCCCTTGGGTCTTCATATGAGACGACCACGCATTTGTCAGCATCCCCAGCACCCTGACTTCTCCAAGTACTCCAGCACCGGTCTTCTACAATCTCACCTATCCTCAAGCAACTTGCAAGAGAGCCATCGTCCTCATTACATAGACAGAGAACTCAAGTCCCGAGCCCTTATGCCTCGAGCTAAAGTCACAAAACTATCGACTAGCAGGGCCAAGATTCTGTCCTGGATCGTGAGGTGCAGGCTTCATGCTTCTTGGCTGGATCACCCTGCTGCTGGCTCGGCTGTTCCTCGCCAGCTGCTCCTCTGTCCTTCAGCTAGCTCTCCCAGCCTGCCTACCCCCTGCCTTCTCATACATTAACTGCATATCTATCTGTCTCCAAGTGCGCGCCTGTGTGTTTCAACTCTCTTCATCCCAGGCAGGGTCACACTCACTTGCAGCCCTCCACGCAGATGTTGGCCTCTTACCCAGAATGTCTTCGTAGATGTTCTCCTCCGATAAAGTGCGCGTGAGTCCCAGCTTGGTCTGTGCGTGCCAGTCCGCCCTGCTGCTATCAGAAGACGGCTGCAGCAAGTCTTCAAACTCGTAGGACTTTCTGGGTTGCGCCCCGGGGGGAAGGAAACAAAAGGCAACCTTGAATCAGTTAAGGCTGGTTCTGAACACAGAAGAGGTCAGAGTGCTGAGGGGCCAGGCCGAAGCTCTCAGGCCAGAGCTGCAGAGCTGTAAGCCAGGGCAAATGCCTGCAGCAGAGACCCGTCCCCAAAGGAGGAGCCGTGAGCCTCTTCTGCGCCCGCCCGCCCGTTGAGGCACAGGCAGGCAGGACAGAGGGACCAAGTCTCTGAGCTCCGGCAGATGGGGTCTGGTCTGGGACTCAGGCCTTAGCTGCTTTCTCTGGGATGGTAATACGTGCCACTTCCAGTCCAGGCTGTCACTCATTCTGAGGGTAGGTGATGGGGTGGAGGTGTGATTTGCAGTGCAGAGTCCTAACAACTAAAGGTGTTTGTGTACCTCAGGGCACGAGTCCCAGGGGCTAGCTCTCTTCTTTTCCGTGCTAGTTTGAATGATCTAGGGGTTTGCTGGGATGGGGTTAAGCATTATCCAAACGGCTATGCTGGACACCCACACTTTAAGACCCACCTTAACTCTGCTGTGATTTTTTTTCCCCCACATTATGGGAACAAGATGCTAACACACGAGGCACGCTTTGCATTCGAAGCCTGACACATAAAAGGGTCTGATAGTCTAAACAGCATTTAGAAAGACTACATTTTAAGGTTATGAACTTTCTGCAATGCCAGCCCTTGGGAGGCTAAGGTAGAGGATATGATATCAAGTTATAGATCAGCCTGGTCCACATAATGAGACAAAGCTAGGAGTTGAGTATTGTGGTGCACATCTTTAATCGAAGCATTCCAGAGACAGAAGCAGGCAGATCTCGGTGAGTTCTAGGCCAGCCTGATCTTCATAGTGAATTCCAGGCCAGCCAGAGGCACAAACAAAACAAAACAGAAGTACAACACAATAATAATAATGCAAACAAAAGCTGGGCATGGTGATTAATGTTTATAATCTAGAACTCTGGAGGTAGGAGAACTCTGTCAATGGTCCTAAGGCCACTCAGGCTACAGTGAGTTTCAGACCAGTCTGGGCTGTAGATCCTGCCTCAAAAGAAACAACAAAAACCCCACAATCAAATAACAACAAACAAAAACAAACAAAAATCAGAGCCCACGAGATGGCTTAGCAGGGAGAGGCGCTTGCCACCAAGCGTGACGAGCCGAGTTCAATCTGCCAGACCCATGAGGCAGAAGAGAAGGAAGTCCTACAAGTTGCCCTCCATTCGTGAATCACGGTACCCGACCACCCCTCATCACACACACCCACAGAGAAGTAAACGTCATAGAAAATCACAACAAGCAAACAAAGTAGGAAACAAACGGCGCAAGGGAAATCGAGTATCTGCCTCTCTTACGTGCAGAAAAATCCATCTGATTTAAACATAAGACCGGAAACTCTTAAATTGCTAGAGGCAGAAGCGATCCAATTGTCACCTCCCAATGACAGTAAGACACAACGAAGGGTCTCAGAATATGGGACCAAGGTTGTTTTCCAACATAGCTACTGGCGACGTGAACGGCACTCTGTTAAGCCCCGTTTCTCAAAGCAGTTTTGCTCTGAACCTCAAATTAATTCATTCCTCTGACATCCCTTTTTGAAAGGGGTCTCATTATATAGTCCTGGCTGTCCCGGAATACAGGATGGAGACCAGGCTGGTCTTGAACTCAGAGAGGTCCACCTGTTTCTTCCTCCCAAGTGCTGGGGTTATACGCACGTGCCACCCAGCCCGGCTTGACATTCTTTTTAAGAGATTTATCTGGGGCTTGTGTTGCTCTTGGAGAGGACTTGGGTTTGGTCTCCAGCATTCTCATGGTAGTCACAGCATGTGAAATCCAGTTCCGGGAGCTCCAAAGCCCCTTTCTGATATCCATGGGCACCAGGCACACCGGATACACATACATTCACGCAGGCCTAACACTCACACAGTACTTTTAAAGATTTACTTTGATTACTTTTATGTGTGTGCAGGTGCCTGCGGAGGCCAGGAGAGTTGGTAAACGTCCTGGAGCTGGAGATACAGGTGGTTGTGAATCCCTGATAGGGGTGCTGGGAACTGAACTTGGATCCCCTGGAAGAGCAGCCAGAGCTCTTAACCACTGAGCCAGCCCTCCAGCCCTCCCCCAAAGTCCCTAACCTAATTCATGTCTTATACATGGTAACTCAGTTACCTCAGAGGCCGGCACCCACGCTGTCATCACAGGGCAGCAAGGCTACAGAGTTAACTTTAAATGACAATGGATGATAGCCCAGGGTCCTGCCCAGTCAGACTGTCTGGGGAACTGGCCGCCCCAGCGTGGTGAGGAGGGCATCAGCCCGTATCACTTAGCGGTGCGTGGATGATTTGTTTTTTATATAAAGGTTTAAAAACTGCTGAATGACCACATGCAACTCGAATGTAGAAATCTAAATTCAAGTTAAAATATTTGAAGCATGCATCTGTGAGAATTCGAGATGCTTACATTAAAACAAGAAACACTTTTGTTTCAGGGCAGCCTGTAGGCATTCCTGCCAGGTTATTAAGTGTACGCCATAAAACACACCTAGCCAAGCGCATGTGACCTAGGATGCTTATCTCTGGAATTTCCTCAGGGCCCGACTCTTTGCAGTTAATTTCTTGGGATTTTAGAGCAACAAAGGAGGCAGGTAAGGAAGGAGGCGCAAGAAAAAGGCAGCTGGAAGGAAAAAAGAGAAAGAATCAGCATCCCCGTGTGGCTTGGCTGGGGTGTGCTGATGACTGACAAAATGAAAAGGCAGCCTTTACAGCCCCCCGACTGTCCCAAACCCTCCCCCTCCTCATTTCTCTCTCCGGCCTTGGCTCCGCTCTCCTGGCTCAGAAGGCAGGACGTCTGCCAAACGCAGGGGTGAGCCATTTTTCCTTATCTACTGTAAAAAAAATGAACGTCTTGCCCTAATCACCTCCATTGCAGTATTTTAAACAAAAGGAGAGCCCCGAAGTCAGAATTGTTAAAACGCAGCTGATGTGATCATATTTGAACTAGCCAAGAAACATTTCACTTTTGGGCTGAAACAAAGTAATTTTAGCTGCTTATAAAAGAAAAGAAAAGAAAATGTGCCAGGAGGCTGAACACAGCAGACTGTAGCAAGGAGAAAGGGAAATCAGGCTGACCTGTCTGTCCAGCCATGACATAGACGGAAGATTCCTGTTTCCACAACCAACCTGTCCCAGGGAGGGGCGAGGGAGGGGTGTGGCTCAGAGACGCCACGAGGCTGTAATTAAGGCAGCCAGGCTTTGGCACTGGGTTGGAAAGGACTTAGAATTGAGATGGAGGCTGAGGTAGGTAGCTCAGCAATTCAGAGCTCTTGCTCTTGTGGAGGACCCAAGTTCTATCACAGCCACCCTCATCAGGCTTAACAAAACCAGGCTGGAGAGATGGCTCAGGTTAGAAGCACTGGCTGGTCCTTCCACAGGACCTGAGTTCAATTCCCAACACCGCCATGGTAGGTTACAATCCTGTGTATCTCCAGTCCCGGGGGATCTGAACCCCTCTCTGAATTCTGTGGGCACTGGGCATGCATGTGGTACAGACACATTCGTGCAGGCAAACACCCATGCACAAATTTTTAAAATTTATTTTTATGTGCATTGGTGTTTGGCCTGCATGTATATCTGTGTGAGGGTGTAGGATCCCCTGGAAATGGAGTTGTAGACAGTTGTGAGCTGCCATGTGGGTGCTGGGAATTGAATCTGGGTCCTTTGGACCCAGTGCTCTTAACTGCTGAGCCATCTCTCCAGCCCATACATATATATTTTAAATTACAAGAATGTAAACAAACAAATTAACAACAGAACAAATACAGGGGGCTGGCAAATGGCTCATAGGATCCCAGTCTGAAATTAGCCCTGTCTGTCTATACAGGGAGCTCCAGGACAGCCAGGACTACATTGTGGGGTTCCTACAAGCAGAACACTGATCCAAGAAGAAACTTGGTTCAGCACGACAGAGCTGGTGCTGATTCAAACTTGCAGAGTAAGACACTGGGCCAGTTTATATAGATATATTTAAGTACAGCACAATTTTGGGGGGAAATTTTTCCTGGTAACAGTTATCTCAATCCCATGTACACAGTAAAGCTCAAGGCATGACTACATCAAAACTCTTTTGTGAAGTACGTGTAACCTCCACCATGAAGATGGTCCTGTGGCTTAAGAGCCCGGGATACGGTGTGGTCTCTGACCCACACAGCACAGAGGTCAGCAGGGGTGGGTTCTGTTGTCTGAGAAACGGTGCTCCAGATAAAGGTGTAGGGAGGGAGAGTCTGGGATGAACATTCCTGGGGATTTGGGTGAGGCCTGGCCCTAGAGATAACCAAGGACACCTGGTTATTAAGAGTGTCCAATCCCAGCCTCCTGGGTGGAAAACACATGCACACCTCCTCCACGGAGGAGATGACCCTGCATGGTCAACATTTCCAGTGTTTCCAGTGCAGGATATAAGGAAACCATGACTAAACAAACAAAAAACAAACCAAAACAGAAAAAAACCAAAAGCCAGGCTCCCAGGTATGGGTGATTGTTGCTGCTTTTTTTTTAAACATCCGGGGTCTGGGCCTCAGAATCTGCATGGTGGAGGGAAGGAAGGAAGGAAGCAACTCCTTCCTACAAGTTGTCCTCTGACTTGCACGTGTGTACCATGCCTGTGCACATCTGTGCAGACACAGATACGCTGCAGATAAATGTGAGCAAACCACCTAACAGCAACACAGTGTGGCTCACAACCATCTACGGTGAGACCGGGTGCCCTCTTCTGGCCTGCAGACAGAACACTACACATAATATTAAATAAATATAGAATTGCTTTAAATAAATAAAGCAAGCCATCAAGAATGAGGGAGCTGGAGAAATGGTCCAGCAGCAGTGGCTGCTTCTTCCAGATGACCTGGGTTCAGTTCCCAGTTCACAGCCATCTGTAACTCCAGCTCCAGGGGATCCAACACCGTCCTCTGGCCTCTGTGGGCTACAGGCATATGCGAGGTGCACCTGTGCGTGCAGGCAAACACTCGTGAACATTAAAAAACATACATAACTCTTTACAATTTTATCTATAGTAAAACGCTGTCTGGATACTGAAAGAACAGCTCAGGTTAGACCGAAAGTGTCTCCAATAAAGTTAAGGCTGAGACACAGACGGAGGGCCGGGGGTGATGGGGAGAGGCTGCCGTCGGGATGTAAAACAAAAAGACAGAAAAAAAAGATTATGCATACGCAACTTTAATCCCAGCACTCGGGAGGCAGAGCCAGGGGGGTCTCTGGGAGTTCGAGGCCAGCCTGGTCTACAGAGGGAGTTCTAGGACAGCTAGAGATTCATAGTGAGACCATGTTTTGGGGGAAAGAAAAACAAATAAACAAAACCCAAAAGTAAACAAAAACAGCCTAGAAAGATTCTTGCAGAGCACCTGAGTTTACTTAACAACCAACCATGCGGGATGGCTCACAACTGACTGTAACTCCAGCTCCAGGGGGTGCAATGCCCGGGCCCCCAAGGACAACGGCAACTTCCATGCACATATCTACACACACACAGAATTAAAATAATTTTTAAATTGCAACAAAAATATTAAGTCACTTAGGAAGAAACAAATATACAAAATCCTAATTTAAAACATGTATTTGGGGTATGTGAAATATAGAAATAGAGGGAACATTTAAAAAACAGATGCAAGAATTTCATATATGAATAATTATATGTCTGAGCACTGTAGTGCATACCTTTAATCCTAGTACTTGGGGGGAGGCAGAAGCAGGTGGATCTCTGTGAGTTTGGTCTATATAGTAAGCTCCAGAACAGCCAGGATTACAAAGACCCTGTCTTAAAAAAAAACACACACACACACACACAAATACATACACACATTTTAGAACATGCAAACTGTTTTCCTCTTGGAAGAGAAAAGAAAAAAAAAATTAAGTTATCTGAACCAAAAGCACCCTAGCTGAGAAATGATACTTAGTGGGCACAGGACACAACTTAATTTCTGGAAACTGCCTCTGGTTACTGAGGGAGGAGGAATATTCTGGGAGGTGGGCGGTGTATCCAAGGTAATACGGTCAGATTCCAGATCAAATTCTAACAGCACGATGGATGGAAGGACTCGCCACTGGGTTAGCCAGGAGCATGTAACACAGAAAATCAAAGAGTGGCTAATTCTTGAGGTTAAGCTGCTAAGTAAAGGGTGATGCCATTTAAAACGCAGGGTTGCTATGAGGGGAAACAGCAGTGGCTGGAGTGACAGCCACATGGAGGTCAGGCAGAGCATGGCCGCATGTATCTGAGACCGAGAAAGCTCAACCACACACTCTCGAGTGACACGCACAGGAAGGGACGAGGCCATCAGGGAACAGGGAACACGGTAGGGAGAGGACAGAAGCCCTGGGTCTGAGCCTGGCCGGGACAGCAACAACAGGTTGGGATGCTAGAAGGAAAGATCTGAGAGCAGCCGGGAGAAGAGGCCTCACCTGGAAGTGCCTGGCCCCAAAGCCCAATGAAGGAATGTTTCAAGATAGGGTGACACAACAACCAAGAGACGTCGTCTAAGAAAATCAGAGAAAATCGGCCATTGGATTTACTAAGATGGAGGCTGCTGGTGGCCTTGGGCAACAGTAGATTGAGGATGGGTGGCCAAAGGCCAGGTGGGAGATGCCAAGCAAAGTTAGCAGGCAAAAAAAAAAAAAAAAAAAAAAAAAAGGGGGGGTGGGGTGGGGATAAAATAAGTCAGACATGGTGGCTCACACCTGTGATCTCAGCACTTGGGACGCTAAGGCAGGATTGCCGCAGGTTCAAGGTCAGTCTGAGCTACAGAGTGAGTCCTTGGCAGCTTGGTCTACAGCCCATAGAGGGCTCGGTCATTGTGCTCACAGACAAGCTCTAGGGAAACCAGGAATGTTAAGCTCTGGGGCTTGTATCTCCAACACAAGGGATGTGTATACCTGTTTTCCACCCAGGAGGCTGGGATTGGACACTCTTAATAACCAGGTGTCCTTGGTTATCTCTAGGGCCAGGCCTCACCCAAATCCCCAGGAATGTTCATCCCAGACTCTCCCTCCCTACACCTTTATCTGGAGCACCGTTTCTCAGACAACAGAACCCACCCCTGCTGACCTCTGTGCTGTGTGGGTCAGAGACCACACCGTATCCCGGGCTCTTAAGCCACAGGACCATCTTCATGGTGGAGGTTACACGTACTTCGCAAAAGAGTTTTGATGTAGTCATGCCTTGAGCTTTACTGTGTACATGGGATTGAGATAACTGTTACCAGGAACTATATCCCCCTCCCCAAACTGCACTGTTACTAAATGTGTCTAAAATAAACTGGCCTGCTATCAGACTCTAGAAGTTTGAACCTACACCAGCTACATCGTGCTGAACAGAACTTCCTTCTTGCCTCTGAGGTTCATTTCTCTGCTGGCTGTAGAGCTTGCAGGGACCCCTACAAAGACCTTGTCTCAGCGCCACCAACAAAAACAGCTGGGAGTGGTGGAGCCTTTGATCCCAGCATTTGGGAGGCAGAGGCATCTGTGAGTTCAAGGCCAGCCTGCTCTACAGAGAGGGGTCCAGGACTATATACACAGATACTGTCTCCAAAGAGACAGAGAAGGAGGGAGGGAGGAAGGAAGAATAAGAAAGAAGGAAATGGAGGAGGGGAGGGAGGAAGAAAGGGAGGGAGACAGGGAGAGGATTTGTTGCTCTAAAACCTATAGAAAAGCCAGTTGACACTGTAGCCCTCCTGTAGCTCCAGCTCTCTGGAAGCACAGACTTGGGGGACCCTGAGCCAAGCTGGGTCAGTGAAAGGCAAATATCCTGCCTCAATAAGTATTTATTTTATTTATTCTGTATACAGTGTTCTGCCTGCATCCTGCATCCCTGTAAGTAAGGAGAGGGCACCGGATCTCATTACGGATGATTGTGAGCCACTGAGTGGGTGCTGGGAATTGAACCCAGGACCTCTGGAAGAGCAGCCAGCGCTCCTAACCGCTGAGCCATCTCTCCAGCCTGCCTCAATAAATAAAGTGGAGAATAATCGAGGAAGACATGGATGTCAGCCTTGGCCTCCACAACCACTCTGATAGACGGACAGTCAGACAGACAGACACAGACACACACACACACACACACACACACACACACACACACACACAGAGCTCTGATCTCCACAACCACTCTGATAGACAGACAGACACACACATACAGCCTCTGGCCTCCACCACTCTGATAGACAGACAGACAGACAGACAGACAGACAGACAGACAGACAGACATGCACACAGTCTGAAAGAAAAAAAAAAAAAAAAGGTAAACTAGGAAACGGCTGACTTCCAAACGTCTTCCCTTAACCTTTGGTGACAAGTCCTTATCACACCGTGAAAGGTAATTTCCTTGTTGTGAGACAGGATCCCACTAAGCTGCCCAAGCTAGCCTGGAACTTGCTGTTGCGCAGGCTGGCTCTGAATTTATGAGCCTCCTGCCTCTAACTCCCAGGAGTTGGAATTACAGGCCTGTCCCGCTGGGCCAGCCTCCAGAGGAAAATAATCAGAAGTAAACATTCTTTTGTGAGAACAAAAAGCAAAACGTTCAGGTTACCACATCTCCTGGAGGACCAGCCAGCCACCTCACATCACGGACATCTGAGTGGCTCTGAGAGCCCTCGGGTGAGCGTGACGTTGTCACCGGGCTGGGAAGGGGCAGTTGCAAAGGGACACAGGCCAACAGCGGAGTGGCGGGCACCTACCTGTGGTCGGCACTGGGCCTCTGCCTCCCAGTCCACAGTCTTCTACTCACAGCAGGGGGAGGAGGGGAGGAGGGCAGGGGCGGGGGCGGGGGCGCCGGCAGGGGCGGCAGGGTTCTCCTCTCTTTTCTGAAGCGGATGTCCCCTTCTGCAGCGTGTTTGAATGTTCTGCGGGGCTTGGGAAGGGGGTTGACGGAAGGGTTAGGGCGGCCCCTCCTGGAGCCCCTGTACACACTCTCCTGGTCCTTCCACTCCTCTGAAACCTCGGGGCCTGGCTCGCTGCCCTCCAAGTGGTGGGACCCCCGGCCAGCTGCCCAGGCGACCCCACCTCCATGGCTCGCGGGGGTGGGTTGGTCCTCCTCTGGTTTCTCGGGCAGACAATGGGGGGAGTAACAAGTCCCCGGCAACTGGGGGTCCAAGCCAGCAGAGCCATCCTTCAAGGCCTTCTCCAGTCTCTTGACCTGCTTCAGCACGGAGAGATGGTCGCCCTGAAAGCGCAGGTCACTGCATTTCAGCTCGAGACCTCGGTGCTGGCCAGGCTCTGGCTGTCCATCATTCTGCCGCAGGCCTGGCCACCGTTCTGTGTCCTGACACACAGATCTTGCTGTCTTTCTGCCGGCATTTTCCAAGCTCTCTGTTTCAACCCTCATTCCGTTCTTAGTTCTGGTGACCTCGCTGCCCCTCCTCTCTACCCCGCAGGGAGGCAAGTAGTTCTCTTGGCCATCTGTTTGTCTGGCGGGCTCAGGAGCAGGCGGCTCCTTCTTACCTTCCCACTTGGATATCTTGTCCTTTATGCTGAGGGGCTGGGGCTGGGCTCGGGCAGATAGTCCAGCGTTCTGGACACTACCGAGCTGCTTCTTTGAGGACCTGCTGGCCTCTTTAGCACCGAGGTCTGCCGCTGGACCACTGATGGTCATGTTGGAGCCAAGCATGTCCACTCTTGCCTCGAGCATGAGGTTATGGGGGCTCCTTGGGGGACTCCTTCCCACGGGCAGTATTGGATTAGTCTCTGGAAAAGAAATGGACCTTCCAAGTGGCTGCCTTCTAGGAGCTTGCCCAGTCTTTGGACCTTCTGCCTTGACCCTGTGCCAGAGACAAATACATGGTGAGGGGTCCTTATGTTTCTGTCTTAACACATTTATTTTATCATTTAGAGTTTTTATGTGTATGGGTGTTTGCCTGAATGTATGCCTGTTAACCATGTGTGCCTGGTGCCCATAGGTCAGAAGAGGGCATCAGATTTCTTAGAAGTATGTTATAGATGATTGTGACCCACCATGTGGGTACTGGGAACTGGCCCAGGCCCTTTGTAAGAGGAACCGATACTCTTAACTGATGAGCCATCTCTCAGGCCTCTGAAGCTATTTTTTTTCTTAAGATTTATTTTACTTTTATAAGTAAGTGCTTTTTGAGATACGGTTTCTTACTGGCCTAGAACACTGACTAGGCTGGACTGCCTGGTCAGTGAGCCGTTGGGATTCACCTCTCTCTTTATCCCCCAGGGCTGGGGTCATAAACTGCTATGCCCAGCTTTTTACACTGGTTCCCAGGGCCTTAGGCTTGCACAGCAGGTCCTTTACTGATTCAGCTATCTCTCAATCTCCTGCTCTGTAGACCAGGCTGGCCTCAACCTCAGAAGTCCACCCAGGAGTACTGGGACTAAAGAAGTTGTGTATCACCAAGGCCCGGCCAAATCCTTAAAGTTTTGCTAACCCTGGGCTTAACAAACTGCCCAGAATTGAGGTGCTCCCTGGAGCACAAACCCCATTGAAATGGCTCTCCGTGACAAAGGGGTTGTTCTGTCTACGCTGCTCCCCAGCTTCTAGAACAACCCTGGCAGAGCAGGAGGCAGTAAGTACCTGTTGCATGAGAGAATGTGTGAATCCCGTACAGATCTAGATTTATCCATGGCCTAGAAATGCACTGTCCAATTCAGTCTCCAGCAGGCACTCGGGGGTTTTGGAACTCAATCCAGTGGAATGAAAACCTCCGGCCCTCAGCTGCCCCAAGCCAGCTAAAGCAGTTATAAACCAACCCACGGGGCAAATGGCTCCTCGGTGGCTGGAAGGTTTTCTGCCAGTGCAGATAGCTGTGTGTGGGATTACATGCCTCTAGATATGATTTTAGGAGGGAAACACGTGAAGCACACTGAATGAGAATATGTGTTTCCGTTCCTGCACAGCAGAGATTACGCTGGGTATGGTGGTTAGGTGGGTGGGCTCAGTAAGTAGGCTTGAAGCTAGCAGGGATGCGTCTTCTGAACTGATCTAACCCTGAGTGTACAGCGACTGAAAAACTCCAGCTAAGGTCACAGCGAGGGATGAGTGTCAGCTGCTGCATTATCCAATGACTATGACTCTCCACTTCCAAGACTAAGAGTTGTTTATATAAAGACCTTAGTTACGGCATTGGCTCACAAATTATGCCGCTGTTCCTGGTTGCAGAGTATAAATTTTAAACTTGTGAGAACGCAAACACACTTGCCATGGCTATCAAAGCACAACTGCCTTTTGAAAACAACAGTTAGGGTTCACAAGAGTGCTTACAAAGGGGAAAAGATAGCATTTATTTCATTTTTACTTTATGCACGAGTGCTTGCCTGCATGTATGTATGTGTACCACATGCATGCCTGGTGTCCACAGAGGCCAGGAGAGAGTGGAGCAGCCCCTTGTTACAGACAGTTGGGAGCTGCCATATGGGTGCTAGGAGCTGAACCCGAGTCTTCTGTAAGAGACTTAAGAACTCTCAACCTCTGAGCTACCTCTCCATCCCTGAAAAAAAAAAAAAAAAAAAAAAAAAACCATGGTTTTGCTTGTCCTCAAGACAGTAGCATGAATTTGAACTTTAGGAGGAATCACAGTCCATGGCTATCTATCTTCCTGGGAACCGAACAGACAGAACTTAGTTTCTTTTCTCATGGCAAGATGGACGCAGAGGACAGATGGACAGAGGTGTGGAGGCATGACCTTCCTGATTAGTATGCGCTTCTCATAACGGACGGGAGTGCAAACCACTCAGTCATCTACGCCGCTACACAACGCTGGGCAGTACGGAAATTAAAGGCATGGCCTTTGGAGTCAGAAGGACGGAGGCTTGAGTCCTTACTACTTTTTTCCCCTCACTGTAGAGACTGAACCCAGGGATTTGAGCACGCTGGGTGGGCTCTACCACTGAGCTATATCCGCAGCCCTCTATTTTTCTCTTCTAAAAGAAGGAATACTATCTCTCTTCTTTAGACTGGAGTTTTCTGAGTACAGAAGTCAAATTGGCTTTGTTTATTGTTACTGGAATACGGTAGGTTGTCAATACATAATGCATTTAATAAATGAATATATATATAGTTCAAGGCACTCAACTGATGGGAACTGTGACCGTCACAGTATTTATTTAAGATCCCAAACACCTGGAGTGACTGAACAGTACCGGAGGAAGAGAGATTGGTTTTTCCGGAAGAACATGCTGTACTCCACTGAGGTCAAGCAAGACGGGTGAAAGATGGTGACACATTTTAATTGTCTCCACGACAGTGAAAACGGAGAGATTCACAATGCTCATTCGGCAATATCCAGACCCACTCAGCCACTTTCGCCTCGAGTCTCAAATGAAGGCAGTTCAAGGAGGTGCTCCGGAAAGTGACAGCCCCTCGAGTAAGCAAGGAGGTGAGACCTCAGTTCCTACATTCTTGGGGAACTGGGGGGGAAGGAAGGGGACTGAGAAGTTGCTTGTCCCCTACACTTTCAGGGTGCATGCAAAGGGAGACTCTTACCTGTCAGCCAATCCGTAGCTCAGAGTTCCAGTCCAGCTGTGGCTGCCTGTGGCCTGCCTGCATAGGGCCACCATGTCAGCATCGAGGGAGGCTCCGGGTGGCCTAGAGGGACAGGGATACATACTCAGCAAGTCACATGGGCCACTTGCCTCAGAAAGAAGCAGGTAACTGGTCCCCACTCCACCACTCTGTTTAGGAGACCCTGCCCAGAACTGGAGGTGGCAAGAAGACCCCATTGAGAAGCCCCGCCCCAGGGGGACGACGTCCTATGCTCTCCTCAGGCTTCCAAGGTTCCAACCTTTCTAATAAACCTGCCGGGCAACAGTGTGGGCATTCTACGTCTTAGAATGAAAGCTCCGTTCTTAAGACATGCGTATATATACTGGGTACCAGGAAGGAAGGGCCAAAGACATGAATGAATGTGGTGTTTTGAATGAGAATGACCCCTGCAGGCTCATAGGTTTAGTTCCCAGTTGGTGACCTGCTTGGAAGGAGTAGGAGGCAGGTCCTTGTAGGAGGAGGTGTATCCCTGGGCGTGGGCTAATGTTTCAAAAGCCCAAGCCAGGCTCAGGGTCTCTCAGGCTGCTGCCTGGGGATACAGATGTAAAGGCCTCAGCTACTACTCCCCGCCGCCATAATGACTGCAAACTAAGCCTCGGAAACTGTGAACAAGTCCCTAGTCAAATGCTGTCCTTTATAAGAGTTGGTCATAGCCAGGTGGTGGTGGTGCATCCCTTTAATCCCAGCACTTGGGAGGCAGAGGCAGGAGGATCTCTGTGAGTTCGAGACCAGCCTGGTCTACAAGAGCCAGTTCCAGGACAGGCTCCAAAGCCACAGAGAAACTCCCACCACATCGAGAAACCAAAAAAAAAAAAAAAAAAAAAAAAGAAAGAAAGAAAGAAAGAAAGAAACCCTGTGTTACAGCACTAGAACATAGACTAAGACAATAAATAAATAAATTAATTAAAACATAAAAAAACTGTGTGAAATATAGTACCCATGGACCACACATTATAAAGAGAAAGACATGCATGGTCAGGTGAGATGGCTCAGGGGGTAAAGGTGCTTGAATTCAATCTCCAGAACCCACATGGTAGAAGGAAAAACCAAACTCCTAAAAGTTGTCCTTTGACCTCTACATGTACATACATGCACATACAGAGCCCTCAGACTTGGTGTGTTTGGGAAGGGCTGGAGCATTGGCTGCCCAAGAGCCTAGCTAACACTGTACAGCAACCCAGCACCGTGCTTTATGGAGTGAATCTGTGGTGTAATTGGGCCCAGTTCCCCAGTGAAGCCAGGCAGTTGGGTCCACCCATCCCACGGTGGAGGGGACCCTCAAAGGCCTTTCAGGGACAGGAAGGGACTCATTGTCCCTCTCACAGCACTGTGAGAGCTGAAGCATTTGGAGCCTCTCCATGTGGCTGGGCCCACAGACACTGCCTTTCTGCCCTCTTCTGGCAGATGGCCTCATGGACTTGGGGGAGGGGAGGGCAGCCAATCGTCTCCCAGCCATCCCTGCTCTGTACAGACCAAACCCCCACCCCCACCATGCAACCTTCTTCCATGTGAGCCAGGCAGCTTGTGCCAAGCTGTGTGCAGGATGCTCCAGGGGACGCCAAGTTGAGTAAGGCTCTGTCCCCTTCCTTGAGGAGCATCCTGCAGCAGCTCTCCACTCAAAGGAGAGCCTTCCCCATCGCCTGAGGATGCAGAGCTACCGTCACCCTTCTAGGGGATGCTCAAACACACTAAGGGAACTGAGTTCCCATCAGGTAGTAACTCCTTGTACTAAAATCCCAGGCTCCAAGGGAGCAGCTAGCGGCATATTCTGGCACCACATTCCAAGAGTAAGTTTGAACGGGCAGCAGAGGCTGGGAGTTACCGGATACAGAAGATACCCACATTCAGCAGCACCCATCTATCCATCGGGGCCTCAGTTCAGGGTATGGAATATGCCGCTCTCATTTGGTTTTTGCTGGCCCCTGATGATTAAAATAGGCTGGCTAGATGTATCGGTGGATAAAGGTACTCACTGCCAAGCCTGACAATTTTAGTTCAATCGCCAGAACACACATGGTAAGAGGAAAGTGACTCACACAGCCTGTCTCTGACCTCTACAGCCATGCTGTGACACATGTGACACACCCACACACATTATTAAAAAGGAAAAAAAAATTAAATTCAGGCTAGAGAGATGGCTCAGGGGTTAAAAGTACTTATCATCCCCCTAGTGACCCAGTGCAGCTCCAAACAGCCATGTCAGCAGGCTCACAACCACCTGTGACTTCAGCTCTGTGGGCCTGACACTGCCTCTGGCCTCCACTGTTACCTGCAATCAAGTGGCATGTGCTCACACAAACACATAAATAAAAACAATCAATCCCCCCCACCCCCACCCCACAAGACAGGGTTTCTCTCTGGCTGTCCTGGAACTCACTCTGTAGCCCAGGCTGGTCTTGAACTCAGAGATCCTCCTGTCTCTGCCTTCTGAGTGCTGGGATAAAAGGTGGGCATCACCACTTCCTGGTCTCATAAAGATCAATCTTTCCTTTATTTGTTTTTATTTAAGACTATACTTTCAGGGATCATTTCTATAGTTCGTTATTTGTTTTTATTTTTTTGCTGTTTTGTTTTTTGAGATAGGGTTTCTCTGTATTGCTTTGGAGCCTGTCCTGGAATTAACTATGTAGATCAGGCTGGCCTCGAACTCACAGAGATCCGCCTGCCTCTGCCTCCTGAGTGCTGGGACTAAAGGCGTGTGCCACCAAAGCCCGGCTATAGAGATCAATCTTAAAAGAGTAAAATAATTAATGAATGGCAAGCCTAGCCTTATTCGGGAGTACTTTGCACACATAAGCTTTACTGCCACTTTATAGGTCTAGGAGACAGCCTGTTTCCCAAACCATGGTATACTGGGAGTCTCTTCCAGTGAACCTGGGGACACATCTCTGATGCACCGAAACCAACTGTCTGTGGGCTGGTTCCCAATATAACATGGTAAATAATAGTATTTAGGTGATTTTCACACAATTGAGGACTCATTTCCCGATGGGCAATTTGGTCTTGCCATTCAGACTGCAGACCAAGAAATATAATGAAAGAATATTAATACCACATTTCCTCCCCCAACTGTTTGCTATAAAGGCAGGACTTCCTATTAACCAGATGGACTTCATTATTACTATTTTTGTTTTTTGAAACTGTGTGTGTGTGTGTGTGTGTGTGTGTGTGTGTGTGTGTGTGTGCACGCCCTCGGATGCTGGAGGCATCCAGTTTTCAGAGGGTGGAATTACAGGTGGTTGTGAGATTTGTCTGTCCCACCTGGAGCTGGAGTTGTGGCTCAGCAGAAGAACCCTGGCTGTTCTTCCAGGGGACACACTTTGCATCCCCAACACCCACAAAATGGCTTATGGCCATCTGTAACTCCAGTTCCATGGGACTTGACACCTTGCTGGCCTCTGCGGATGTCAGGCATGAAGGTGTTGCAAAGAAATGCATGCAGGTAAAACACTCACAAGGTAAGATAGTTGAGAATATAATTAATAACGTGTGCTTAGTTAAGTGGGAATAAGGGAATCCAGTAGGAAGCAGGTGCATCTCCTGGCCTTGAGCTGGTACATTATTTCTGCAGCACAGTATCTATGTAACTTGATTGGTGGTTACTCCCAGACCTTTGCAGAGTACACCTATTACGTGTTAATATTCATTATTTATCAATATGTGGAATAATCCTTCTGTACACTGTGAAAATGTGTGCAGTGCTTTCACTGTTAATAAAAAGTTGGTTGATTGGCTGATGGCTAGGCAGGATTTTCGGGGCAGAGAGAATGCTGGGAAGGAGGGCGGAGTCGGAGGAGTGGCAAGCCAGACTTGGAAGAAGCGACATGGGATGTTCACAGATAGGTAAATGAGCCTTGGGGTGGCACACGGATTAATAGAAATGGGTTAGTTTAAGTTATAAGAGCTAGCTACAAAGCAAGCCTAAGCTATTGGCCAATTTTTTTTAATAAGAAGTCTCTGTGTGGATATTTGGAACTGGCTGGCAGGACAGAAAAGTCTCCTTACAATCCGATATTTTCAAATATGGAAAAAGATGGAGGAATCCCAACCCCAGCTCCCTCCTGGCCGGGCACAGCTGGGTGGTGGTGGTGCACACCATTAACCCCAGCACTGGGGAGACCGAGGCAAGAGGATCTCTGTGAGTTCAAGGCCAGCCTGGTCTATGAGTGAGTTCCAGGACAGCCAGAGCTGTTACACAGAGAAAACCTGTCTCCAAAAAAAAAAAAAAAAAAAAAAAAAAAAAAAAAAAATCAAAGTTTCCAATACAACCACGGTTCGGAGATATTCGGGGAGAAAGAGCTACATCTGTCTGGATTAAATGTACATGGTTTTAAAAATTAAATTTACTTAGTGTGTGTGAGTGTGTGGCACAGCATTTATGTAGAGATCAGAGGACACTGATTGTGGACTGTAACCTCTTAATAAATCTTATTAACAAGCCTTTCCCCTTTAAACACTTACTCTCTCAGGTACCTGTTACAGCAATGGAGGGTCACGGTTCCCCACACTGAGGGCTCCTCTCAGGTCAGGAGTACAACCAGAGCCACGTCAAGACTGCCCGTGGCTATGAATGCTCACTCACGGACACCTGTTGGTCTGACACATGATAAAGCCCCTAGGAGCTGTGACTAGCTCAGCCTGGGAATGCAAACTGGACCACATTTGGGCTGATGAAGCCACAAGGCAGGTCAAGATGACACGTTCTGTTTCCTCGGTGCTGGGAGGGTTTTGCTCACATGTGCAGAACACTCTTAGGGAGAGACGGATGCGGCTCCTTAGGAACATGGGAAGGTATTTTTCTCGTGAGAATATTTGGAAATCACGTTTCATTCTCCTCTTCCATTGGCGACGTGGAAACGCTTCATTCCACAGATATCGCCTCCGCCATCACGGGCTCCTTGCACAACAGCACCAAGTTACAGCGTGTGGAAGGGTTGTGATGTCCCTAATTACTAGTGTTGGCTCTGATGAAGTCAGTGTCCGTTGGTCATAAAGTTAAAGCAGAAGCTACAGAACTGGACACTGGCAATTCCAGAATTTGT